CAACTTTGTAATCCATCAACCAGATGTCGAAGTGTTTCGGGTTCGTTAGTATTCTGATACAATATGAATGTCTTGAGTGTCTGTATAAAAGTAAAAATAGAAATAATTAAAAAATAGATTTCGAATTAAAAGACAAATGAAATTGAAGTAGTCAAATGTAATAACTAATTCGTGATAGAACATTACATATATATATCTTATTTATCAATACAAATCAAAGATTATCATAATCGAAAATCTACCAAAAAAATATTTATTTTTATTAAAAAGTTGTAAATAGTGGAAATATTTCTCCATTTAAGATAAGAATAATAATAACTAATATATTTTTATAAGGCATTTTTGTTTTACTAGGAGAATAAAAGTTTCTCTTCTCATCATAGAATTTTAAATAGAATTATACTCAAACTTAAAACTATTCCAGTTGAACAGAGAAAAAAAATAATCTATCGAATTTAGTGTATTAATACAATTTCTCATCTGATAGTTGCCAATAAAATAAAAGTTTATTTTCTTACGTCGAGTTTTTTCAATACATTAGACACGAGTATCATATCTTCATCAGCGAATGTGACACCAACTACAGACACTTTTGATGATTCTTCATATTCAGCCATCATCTCTTCTTCAATACGTTTGGCACGTTTTGACTTGCTGTCCTTTTCTTCATTTTCTTCTTGTTCCACTTCTATAATATATTATGTAAATGTTTCACAATTTCTTCAATAGGTAGAATAATCAATAAAATAAGATTCAATTTAGAATTTTTCTGTTTGTTGAAGTGTTATGAATAAAACAAATTTGATCTTGATGAATTCGAACTATCAATACTCAACTATGATGGGTGTTAATTTTCGTTCAGTAAGTACATATGATCATAAACTATACTGACCTTTTTGATAAAGTCTTACAAGAGCTACAAGTTCAAGTAATTTCTTGGCTTTAGCAGCACCATAGTTTATAAACCAGATAAGAAAAATCAATTTAACAAGCCAATAAATACGTAATGCATGAAATTGATTATATCCAATATACTCAATAGAAATCAGTGATGAGTAAACAATCCAATAAATGAGCAATTCTTTTTCTTTAGCATAATTTGTTTCTGATGATTTAACAATTGATAATCTTAACAAATATATAAAATCTTTGATGAATTTAGATATTTACTTTTCAAATGAATATCTAATTAGAATATGAAACAAAAACCTAAGTCAAGTATTAGAAAATATATCGATACGAACGTCTTGCAAGAGACAAGTGTAGGTGTTGTCTTTAACGCACACCCACATGCACCCTCAAGATATACAAATCGAATTTTACTTACGAAGCACATATGGGGTAGAGAATACCAATAAAATTGCAAACAAAATCATTGCATCCACCAAAGATCATATAGATGATAACAATAGGAAACAGACCTAACATGATCAAAATAAAGTAGTAACAGAACAAAAATAATAATAACATACCAAGAACAATTAGTGAACGTTCTAAACGTATTTTCTCTTCGACAGGTTTCAAATATGAATCAATTTGTTCACTATGTAAATATGGATCGAGTTTATTCTTGACATTGTCAATATTCTCTCGAATTACAGCAGCCATTTCGTTTTTATATGATCTACAATCTTAAAGAACAATTACATAAACTAAAAAAGAAGAAGAAAACAAAAATAATATAAGAAATTTACCAAAGTCATAGTGTCGGAAAATTTGAATCTTATTGACTATGTACTAAAAGAGATTTTAAACATTTCTATCTTCCAATATTTTTTTCCTGTGAAATAACTCAGGATAATTATCATTCATGGCCTTTTGACCTTGATTGCGAGAAAACTATATTATAGGATTTATTTGTAATAAGTCGTTTAAAAATATAGGATTTTTTTACAAGATCTTTATTCTCGACTGCATACTTCTAGTCACCAGTAGTTATTATCTTATATGAGTGACGAAGGTATGATAATTTTAATTCATAGGAAATATTTGTACATTCAAAATGAACTCAACTAAAGACATTCATTTATAATTCAAAAAGGATAATGAGAGAAAAAATATCATCACTTTACCAAGATTTTATTGTTGATAGTAGGTTTCATCACGAAATTCATAAAATGATTATATTCATTGACTAAAACAAATAGTAGTATACGATAGTCGAAACATATCCGGACATCTATCAATTTTTTCATCCTTCTCTATTCGTGGAGCAAATATAATGTAAAATATGAATGACTTACTAATTGAAAGAAAAATTAGAGTAATGCGAAGGAGGACAATAATTGTCATACCTTTTCTTTGCCTGTACATTCTACATGTGCATATATATTTTATATTAATATGACATGCAGAGACATATTTATTTTCAAACTTTAATATTTTTGTATGCCAAGACAAATATACATAGCGTGGCATGTCGATATGAATATCAATATATGGAGAAAATATTCTAGAATAAAAAATGTTTTTGATAAAGTGGTTCACAAAATGATGATCGAATAGATCTTTATATCATGCAAAAAACAACGAAGCAAACAAGCTGAATCACAATATCATTAATTATAATAACAGATATCTTTTAATTAATCTATTATGAAGATTTGTTTTTCATTGTCTATAGTTCTGTCTTATATCGAGAAAATCATCGAAAAGAATTTGCTAGTACATGTAGAACTCGTTCTAATAAATATAATAAATATAGATCGGATGACAAAAATGATTTGAATATTGAAATACTAAATTCTGTTTGTGTTTCGAATAGTTACCTGTGCTCATTTACTTACGTAGATATGTATGCGCCACTAACCGACAAATCAAATTTGAGTGACTAATAGCTTGTGCAAGACTAACGACAATTTTTTTTATGCACCGTCAAAAACATGAAATAATATATTAGCTTTGCAGCTGAAAGAAAGCAATCAACCAAATCAAAATGCGAGAAAATGTGCGTTGATTTAGTACAGAACAGGAAAAAATACAGATCTATGTTGTTTTTTTTTTAATATTGTATTTTTATTGCGCTGCATAAAGGTTCACATGTAGAAAGAACAAAAAGAAGACACTATGAAAGAAAAGAAATGAACGCAACATTTATTTCTATATTCCAGAGTAGACGAAAAAGGTTGATCAAATAAGTATTACATGTCACATTAAAAAGTAGAATCGAGGACTGCAGATCATATTAATACGGTTAAACTATTCCTGTATAGAATAAAATATAAGGTATAAAAATATTGATTAATAATAAAAGAAGAAAAAAAATTATTTAGAGATCATCTTGAGGATATGGATGTAGATTTAGTGAGCTTTATTTTCATATTCACACCGACATTCACCCTCAAGATACAATATTTAAGATATTTGAAAACAAACAATACGATGATCTAAAATGATTTTCTGTTGAATTACATGCTTCTTCTCTTAACCAAATATTTATTTTCTAACTGATTCAACAGTTTTTATCAAATTTTTTCATAAAATTCAAAGAGATTTTCATATCAGTTGAATATGACGCATTGCTTGAAAAAAAACTAGAGTGTATATGTGACATGATAATAACACTGGTCGACGATAGTGTCTAAAAAAATCAGATCTGAACATTTTTCTAATTGGAATTTTGTCTGACGAAGAAAAATGTGACTCGCCAGACATGATTCTTGTGTTCTTGATTTCTATTTTTTCTATTATCTAACATATTTACTTAAAAAACAATAAATAATAAAAATGACTTATTTACATAAAAATAAAGAAAAAAAACTATCAAAGACATTCTATTTATATGGAAATTAAAATATTTTATTTATGTTAAAAGTACATAAGGTCCTGACATTTGGCTTCTGCATATTTGTTATTCGGATCGATGATTGATTTCTCAACAAATTATTATTTGAAAATTCTAAAGTCAGTTACAATTTGACACACTGATATTGTATTTTTATTGTAAAATATTTTTAATTAACTATTATTGATATGCAATTGAAACATTGTATGAAAAGACTATCATTTACTCATTAAATCGAATACAACAAACATAGTTTGTTCTCGTCTGAAAATGAACAAATAAAGTGTAGGCAAGAATTTCATTTTCTTTCTCATCAAGAACGATGTCGAAATTTCAAGAAATTCAAAAAATCTAGTGTATCTCTGCAGATTCTTGGTTTTCTACAAGACTGAATATAAAATTTCGTGATTAGGAAAGACGCTTACTTAATATAAAACTTTATTAGATTATTTATTATTTATTTTAGTTAAAGTCACGCGCGCAATTCGATATTGAAACAAACATTTTTAATTACTTTTTGTTGTTTTTTAACGAAGTTTCTAGAAATATATGCAGAAACCCGAAGAATTCACTTTCATTATTATTGTTTGATTTTTTGCAATGGAAAAAAATAATTATATTCAAATTTTTTTATAAATATAGAAGTATAATTATATTATAATAATAGCGTATGCATTATTATGCTCATACGAATAAAATTATAGGCTGATCGACTACGTACCCTTTACAGCATCAATAAGTATGAAATTTTTTTAGAACTTTAGATACTATCAATTGGTTTTTAGTTGGAATATATCATACTATTATTTTCTCTCTATGCCACTTCAACATTAAAAAAGCTTCATTCACTGCTGCTGAATTCTAGAAGTACCTGAATTTCGAGTTCGGAAGCTATATATGATTAGTTGCTATAAGATTACCGATAAGGTTAACTAAGAAATATGTAGAATATAACAGACAAAGACATGTTAAAATAATTAGCAGATTTTATGAATAACCTTGCGAGAATTTATATCATGTCTAATTTCACAGAAAAATCTATCCATAAGTAAAATATTTTCCTCCACAGTCAGATTTGAAATCTATCAGATCGAATATGTTTCTCGATACATGAAATGAGAATAGAAAGAATTTTTAAAATATATTTGCAGATTTTCATTGTTTAGTTTAAAAAAACCAAAACAATGATCAATTTGCTTCTACTTTTATTTCTTTTTTGTGCTGTCATTACCGGTCTACACTTCAATGGTGGTACTATTCGATGGGCACCAATCAACTCGAGCATCAACTCGAGTGTAGTACCTATAAGTATCATTCAAACTTATTCATGGACCTATCCACTCATTTCTTGTGCTACTGATGTTCCCATATCAACGAGTGGTCGAAGCAGTAGCAATGCTAATCTAACATGTGTTACTGATTGTTCAACAGATGGTGGTTATTCAACTAAACCAGTTAATATCTTAACTGATTGTCAAACAGCTAGCTCATCATTAGGAATGATGACAAGTCAACGATCAGTCAACATTAATTTAACTGCAAATGCACATTTTTATCTTGCATATGTTGGATCTGCTTGGGTATCATTGAATGATCCTGCTAAAAGTGGACTTCAATGGTCAATTGTTTGTTCGATTGATCTTCGAATGCGACTAGATGGTATTATTAATACACCACCTGTTGCAAGTGTCGTTTCGCCTCAATATGCAATTGTTAATCAAACAACTCAAATTACTATCCCTGTATCAGATGTGAATACCGGTGATGATGTACGTTGTCGATGGTCAACTTATACACCAGGATATCGTCGACGAAAACGATCGGATGAAGACGATTATATATATGAGAATTATAAACCTCAAATATACAAAAATCCATTGGAAAATAAAGAATTAACTCATGTTAGAAAAAAAAGATTGACTTTTGATCCTTGTTTTTTTTGCAGCAGTACATGTTACTATGGTTGTCTTTGTTCTTGTGCTGGATGTGCGGGAACTGCATGTACTGTTAAATGTTTATCACGACCCGCTTGTCCAACGGGAACTACTACACTCGAAACTCCAGGAACAATAAAACCAACTTTATCGTATCCTAATCGTCAGCCTATTGATGAATGTGGTGGAATCTGTTATCCAAGTAGTTTACCTAATGGTACAAGTCTATCCGGATGTACTATATCATTTACAGGTCTTGTACCTAATACTTGGTATGGTGTTGCAGTTCAGGTGAGCAGATAGTGTTTAATTAACTAAGATAGAACTGCTTGTATTAATGTGAACCTTTTACCCACAAAAAATCAAGCGATATTTAGTACGTTAAATAGAGGAAGATTTTAATCTTTTTCTTATTTTGAAATTGTATGAACAAAATCATCAAATTTGTTTTTTTCTTAGGTAGAAGACTTTATAAGTAATTCAAGTAATATTTCAATGAGTTCAGTACCGGTTCAGTTTTTGATTTATGTCTTACCACAACCGACATGTGGATTAGCACCAATTATTTTTCCTGCTGATCTATGTTTGGATGTTCAAGTCGGTGTTGTAACAAATTTCGATATATACGCGGAGACCTTGTGTAATCCTAATATATCAAACATTGATTCAATTGTCGTCACAAGTGTCATTGTTGGGATGAATGTTAGTGATGTGATCACTTCACCAGTAAATGCATCAATATCTTATTTCACATTTACTTGGCAACCTCAAATGAATCAACTTGGTTCACAACAGCTGTGTATAGTAGTTTATACCGAGTAAATCTTCATTTAATTAATTTCTTATTATTGAAAAAATGTTTTTTTATTCATTAGTGAACAAATATCATCTCAACCGTATTGTATCATATTCAATGTAGTACCATCAGTTGTTACTTGTACAATCACGACTACATCAACGACAACTACAACATCAGAAACAACGACAACAGGAATTACTACAAGTACAAGTTCAACTACAACTACAACTACAACTACGTGAGTTGTATTTTCGATAAATATAATGATTCATTCTGATGATTCATTTGTTGCGAGTTTATTAAAGATTTTTTTCTTTAGAACTGTCACCACGATGGCAGAAGTTTCAGGTAAGAGATATCAATAAGAATTTGTATCAGTATCACAACAATTACATGATTCTTACATAGGACAATCTGTAAATTGGCCGTTAATTGTGGGTTTATCTTTCTTGGCTGCATTACTTGCTCTGTGTTGTATGTGCTGTTGTTTGTATTGCTTATTGTGGTGAATTCTATTATAAATGTAGAGAATCAAAACATTTTGTTTTTTAATAGGGGTCCAGCTGCAAGACGTCGACGACGCAGAAAAAATGAAGAAAAACTACAAAGAGACATTATTACACAAAGAATTACACCAATTACTTCTCTCAGAAATCATCATTGTATCAAAATGCTTGAAACTGAGCAAATACAAAACAAAAATTTCAATTATACTGCATTGAATAATAGAAATAGTGTAGGAAGAATATCATTATCGGATGTACCAGTAAATTCTCGTACTTCCACTATTATTCCAATTAATTCTGCAAAACGTATGAGCTTATCGGCATCTTCTACTGAACAAGATACACCTATGAAAGTTATAAATAAAAATGAAACAACTCCACGAACATCAGTGGTTTCAGTCGCAGGAAATGAATCAATAAAATTAACTGGTAAAAAAGATAAATTACATAGAATGTCACACGACAAGCCTAAAACTCCATCAGTAACCAGAATTAACCAGGTCGGTATTATTAAAACTCCACGACAAAAAACTGACACAACACAATCTTCGAGTATTGGCAACACCACTACTATCAATTCGGGAAACTCATTGTATAATATACAGCCAATAACAAATCGATTAGCAAGTACATCGCTTACGAGAGATCGAAATAGGAATGCCGGAAAAGGAGTAATTGTAACCAAAGTTACAAGAAATTCATCATGAAATTAATTGCCTTACTGAAAAAGATTCAATATGTACCTATAAACATTCTTTTTTTTTTGTAGAACTAACTTATATATTTCTAACAAAAGAATTGTTTTATTAACTACTAACATATTTTCATTTTACTATTGTTCAAAATTTTAATCAATAAACTCCTTTACACTCTTGTATTTAACTATTGATATGTAAATGTAGGATATAGTATAATCATGATTTCACTTTTACTGCGATATTGACATGTACTTTTAATAACTGAGTCATTTTATTTACCTATTTTTATTTCTGTTCGTTCGTTTATCGATATAGGCACGCAATAAATATAAAATATTATATTATTCCTTCGTTCTCTCTGTTTTTTTTGCTTTCTGCAGCGCCATAATATCTTGCACAACTGGACGAACCAGTAAGACCATGTGACAAAAAAAACAACTACATATAGTCACTATTCACACACACACATTTTATACGTGACATGATATCCCGAACTACACGTTCTCATACAATTTCAAACGATGAAATCGGTTCTCAGACACAATCTCGATTGTCTAAACTATTACAACATCATGACCATCATCTTTCTCAATTCACACCTGCTGTTCTCTCACCACTCTACTTAGCTTGTCAAAACAATGATGTAGCAAAAGTAAAAGATTGTCTTACGACAATAAAATATGAAGAAATTGATTGTCAGTATTCACCAAATAATGAAACTGTTCTACATGTTGCAACACGAAATCAGCAGAAAGAAATAATAGAAATACTTCTATCATACGGTGCACAACGATCTTTAAAAAATACAAATGGTCAACAAGCACACGAACTAGCTGAAACAAAAGAAATTAAGGATCTATTTGAACGTTCAAAATCATCTCGTTTTACATTTCGACACAACTATGATCAGAGCCAGACAACTCCTTTAGTTCAACATAACATAAAATGTGAAAGTTGTTCATTGATAAATGATCATACTTTCTATGAATGGGAGTTGATTGATCGAAATGCAACACAAAAAGCACTAAGATTTCGTCGTGAATTGAAACCGTTCACATCGATGAGTGAAAAAGATTTAAAACAAAAACTTTATTCAATAAAAAAAGGTTATATTAATACACGTGTTCAACATGCTTTGATCAATGATGGTACACGTATACATGATTATTTTAAGCGTGCATTGCTTGAACTGGAACCCCATTTGATTGTTACTGCATACACTGCTTCTCAAAGCTTTTCAGAATTATTAAACAAAGATATGGCACGTAATGTTATACATGATTTAAAGAATGGATGTAGTAAATTTTCTTGTGACTGTCTCTATTCAACAGAAGATGGTACAAAATCAATTACAAATATTTTCTTTCATCATCCAAAATTTCAAAAACTCAGTTTCAAAGGTACAGTTTATCGTGGTATTATCATAACGAAAAATAGTCTTGATCATTATAAAGTTGGTTCTTGTATTCTTACAACTACATTTCTGTCAACATCAACAAATCCTGCAGTTGCTCAAAGTTTCTGTGATAAAGGAATACCCAATACAACGACTCATTCATTCTTCTGTATTTATGAAATATTTAACGAAGATCATACTGCTCTTAATATATCGACTATATCCGAATTTAAAAATGAAGATGAGGTATTGATTCTACCATACTCAGCTTTTCTTATTACAATGATTGAAGAAAAACAAGACATAACATATATTTATTTGAAAGAGCAGTGTTTAACAAATATGATTGATATTAGTGGAACACAAGAATATTCACTTAAATCAACAGTACGTTTATTGGAAATTGTCGGAAGTCGTCTAGTACATAACATCGGTGATATGATATTAAATGAAGATAATCATATACGACCCCGATCAAAGACGATGCCTGTATTAAATACATATTTATAATAATTTGAACATATTATTTTATTTCTCATCAACTTTTTAATATACATTAATTAATAGAATATATGAAATCATTAAATTGTATAAATTTGTGTCACATGTGACAAATTACTGTCAGTTCTTTCTCTTTGAGGTTCATAACGAAATACTCTTGTCATCAATACAATTAATGAACGTTTGAATTCATTTATATAAACAGTCGATGGATAGATATAAATAGCAAATGTCATTGTAAATGGTATATTTGCTAATGTTATTAAAATTAAATAAAGACGTAAAGTTATTGTTGGACCAATACGATCGCATGAATAAATAACATGTTTAAAAAGATACCATGGTACTATACATAAAATATAACATAGGGGTGGTATGAAAAAATTCATATGTTTCTTCATTTGTTGTCTCCAAACAAACCAATATTTTTCTTCACCTGAATTAATATATACTTTATGTACACTAATATTTCTAAGGACAAATAGACTTGATAAAATATGTATTAAACATGTAATTAAGACAGTACCAAATTCAATACATTTTACACTTTTTACTAAATTAGGAAAAACTGTCGATATTTCAAAGTTACCAAAATATAACAAGAATGTAGGTATTTGTGTCAGAAACGTAAATATAAGTATGATAAATGAGAGACAACAAGCACGTTTACGTGTTGCATAGAGAGCACAATTAAAACATTCTATAAAAAGACGTTCGCAAGCAATCATACTTGAATACCACATTGCTAGAAAATTTAAGAGATTTAATAAGATAGCTGATATATAGAATAGAATTGTACGTTGCAATGATTGTGTATCAGATATAATTGATGTTTCTAGAAATATGCAACGTATTAAATTACTTAGTGAGAGAAATATCAGATAAACACCAAGATTCGTTATACGTATAGATCTGCAAAGACATGTTTGAATAGTTAGGATATTGTTGACAATAGTACATCCAATAATCAATTGAAATAAGAAAATAAATAGATATTCAGTATTTGGTAGATACAAAGTTAAACTGTAGTATCTTGACTGTTGCAAAACATCTGTACATGTTGCATTAATTTCAAATTCAATCATTGATGTATTCATCTTTACGTTTTTTTATATGTGTAAACCTATTGACCGAAAAACAAATTTTACATAGTATTATTCCGTACAAAAATAAAAAAATATAAGGCTTTCGTTCTATTATACTGATAACGATATAAATATATTTTTTTCATTTATGTTTATTTGCACAATGATTTTCGTTCTGATATATATATATTAATAGAAAGGCAAAAAAAAAGAAAGGAAGTAGAATATGTGGATAAGTGAGTGTAAATGTGGATCGATACAAGTGCTACCAAAATATAAAAAAATTGTGACGAGTGTCGATTTAATCGAAAATCGTAGTTTCTTCTGCGAACAGAAAGAACTGAGTTGTGATGCTTCAGGCTCATGACAAGAGTCGACCTTCGATCACGGCTCGTCAACATATTTCTCTTCGTTCTTCCTTTTATGCTGTTTTATGTTTGAAGTTGTGCAAGAACACATTATTGCACAACGTCAAATAACGAACAGTATAAGAAGCAGAACAGAAGTTAACTAGTTCGATGAGCCGCGATCTCGATTTAACTCTTATGTATTGAGACTGAAGCACTACAACTCGGTCTATCTGATCGTCGCAAGACGATTCAGATGACCATTGAATCAAGATCAAATTAACACTCGTTACTTATTTTTTTTTGCTCTCACATCAAGTGAGATGATTGCATGACAAATGTAGCACTTGCGTCAGAAGGATGTGGAGTGTGTATCAATTACTTTTTTCAAAGGAATAATATTAGGTTACGCAACTGCTATAAATACGAATATTTGTCTAACCTCCAGAAAAGATACATGTGCAACCGTATTGGGTTGTTTTATCTATCAAAATCGGTTTGATGAGACTCTGATAATAGAATATCTTCTGTTCGATGGCAATTGAGCGGGATATTTTACAATAATTTATCTAGACGTAGAAGTAGTTGATGTTATACAGGAATTAAAAAAGAGTTTACTAACAGATGATCAATCAAAACTTAAATTAACAGCTGTTCTTGAGGGTGTCGGTGTAAGTATGAGGCATTTGAGTGTATGAGTATGGGTACGGTTGTGGGTAGAAAGAGAAGACACTCACCCCACACCCTCAAGATGGTACAGGGCCATATCGAAGTTGTCGTAGGAACAATTTCACTAAATAAATGGATAATTTGTGGACCCGCAGCGCTCTACATGCAACATGTCTACCGATAAACGACTTGCACCTTGAGCAAGTTGGAATTTTTTGTGAGATGAATAAAGCAACCTATTTATTTATGATAAGGAAAGAACGAAAGGGCTTGATGATTGATTGTCTATAAAGACACTCGAGCAAAGTATACCTTCGGTTTCACTCCTTATCTAACATCTATTTTTGTTGTTGTCGTAAACAGCCAGCAATGCATATCGTTGCACCTGCTTTGGTCTTCTTGATGCTTCTCATGTCTCCAATCATCGCACTAGATGCGGAGACTTATTCAAAAATGTCATCTGATATTCACAATGATGGCACAGACATCACGACCCTCAAAGTGGCTATGTATCCTCATTTGCCTGATTCGGCAGGTGACAACTACGCAAAACTATTACAATTTATCAACGAGGAATTTAAAAAAATTCAACCAACGATTAATCTACAGCTACGTCCGCTAGACCAAAACGATGACTTCTATAGTCTGACGACACTTACTCCGTGGCTATCAACCGACGGAATAGGATACGACGTAGTCGAAATTGATACTTTGGTTTTGGGTGATCTTGTCAACGCTGGTCTCATTGTTCCGCAATTTCCCATCTCACATAATCATTCAGATTGGCATTCAGCTGCTACCAGTGCTGTTCAGTTTAACCAGGCAGTGTATGCTTATCCACACATTATGTGCGCATATTTTCTTTTCACTCGTGATGAACAAGCAGCTAAAGTAACTACCATAGACGAGCTTATAAATATTCTGAGCCCTAATGCTTCTGCTACTTATCGTCTGGTTGGAAATATGAATTCTAGTTGGATCTTACCTTCTCTGTGGATTAACAGCTACCAGAGCAGTAATAATTCCGAATATAATATACCAGCATTTGCTCTTCATTCTTATCAAAAGAACTCATTTGAAACTATGCGCAAGTTTGTACAACTCTGTGATCGAGCAGGAGAAGAGAATAACTGTCTTAATGGAGTATTCAGAGATAATTCCAACATGACGGCCTTATTATTTGCACATAAGCAGACGGCGGCTATGTTTGGCTTTTCTGAAAACCTCTTTACAGTCCTCAAAAATGGAGATCTGGATGACTATTCCAATGTCAAAATGATTCCATTGCCATTAGGTACAAATGATAATCAACCTGGTTTTTTTACTAATGCATTCGTTTTTCGGCGAAATATGTCAGTCGATGTATTAAAGGCTGCTCGTTTATTTGCCGATTTCATGGGCACACCTCGTATGCAAGCCGCTGTTGTTGGCAGTGCAGATAGCCCTAATACGAGGCCACGCTATCTTCTACCTATGTCCAAGAATGCTTATAATGAACCACTTTTAGCAAATGACCGCTTCTATCAGCAGTATTTTCGAAACTTAGACGTTGGTTATTCTTATCCAACAGCAGGATTCTTAAATACACGCAAAGAACTTAACACTGCTATTTTGAAAGAAGTCGATGTCAAAAATGACCCTTCTTCTTTATCGATCAGTATTTCCACCCATTCTAAATTCTCTCTCCTGCTGTTCTTCATCTTCTATACATTTCATCAACTAATCGTACGTAGTTACCTCCTTGTTTCTATATAGACTTATACATCTTCTCGTTGTGTTCTCTTTCTCTCGATTGACATTGTTTCTCTGATATATGCTGAATGTTTCAAACAGAAAGGAATGGATTGGAATTAAACTAATTGCTGGATGATAATACATTTTTGTCACCACCAAATCTAAAAATTTCTTTGTTTCCCTTTTTTTCTAATATAAAAATAAAAATATATCTTCAAAAATGTAACTATTCGATCTGTGAATTGAACGTATCGCATGCAATATTAATATCTGAGTGTGGGTGTGGGTGTTAGCTCTTTATCTATAGCAGTACACACCGACACTCACACCCTTACGATATACCGTAATCGATGTTGATATAATTTTTTGTTTGTGTTATTCGATATCCAAAATTTTAAGACACTTGTAAATATATATAATAACAATAACTTCTGATGATCTCTGCATAAGAAATTCGTTTGTGTCCACTTGATGCTACTAAAATATAAGAGAAAATATTGAACAAATCTTCATCTATAGACTGCCTGTGCTAATAAAAAAAATGTGACGAGTGTCGATTTAATCGAAAATCGTAGTTCCTTCTGCAGAGCAGTTAGAACAGAGTTGTGATGCTTCAGGCTCATGACAAGAGTCGACCTCCGATCACGGCTCGTCGACATATTTCTCTTCGTTCTTCCTTTTATGCTGTTTTATGTTTGAAGTTGTGCAAGAACACATTATTGCACAACGTCAAATAACGAACAGTATAAGAAGCAGAACAAAAGGTAACTAGTTCGATGAGCCGTGATCTCGGTTTAACTCTTATGTATTGAGACTGAAGCACTACAACTCGGTCTATCTGATCGTTGCAAGACGATTCAGATGACCATCGAGCCGAGATCAAATTGACACTCGTTACTTATTTTTTTTTTAGCTCCCACATCAAGTGAGATAATTGCAGGACAAATGTAGTACTTACGCCGGAAGAAGGTGGAGTGTGTATCAATTACTTTTTTTAAAAGAATAATATTAGGTTACACAACTGCTTGAAGGTGTGGGTGTGGGTGTAAGTATGTTCCTTACCTTAATACCACACCCACACCCTTTTTCAGGAAAAACGAGAAGGGAAGTTGTGATATGATAAAACATAGGATCATTAAAAATTTTGAATTTTTGAAGGGATTGAAATCATTACTAATTAACATTTGCTCATGACAAAATATACAATTATGTAGCTGAAAAGGTATATGTGACGGATTCCATCCATGACTATCTCTTCTATATTATTGTATGTACATACACATTGGTCATTTCTCATTCTTTATCCATGCTTTGTTTCTGTGTTCATTTCCTTTCTTGACCATTTCGCCTAAGTGGCGATCGATAGTCGGTCATTGTTCTTTCGGCTCTGTTTGTTTTCTTCTTCGTTCGTCATTGTTGTCATTCATTCTGTTGAATAAAGTACGAACAAGTTGTCGTTCCGTCATAGCATATATTATTGACACATCGATAACTATATCAGCAATTGAAAGTAAATGTATGAAATAAAGCTTCGCTATCATTGAGTTTTTGACTACACCGCAAAATGTCTTCCGAAAACGTTCTAGATTAAGGCACACTCTTACCTGTTCGTTCGTCAATCTTCACAGCTGGAAGAAACTTTGTTGTAGTTCTTAGACAACCATCATCAAGCCATTCGACTACACCAGTTAGAAAAAAGATTAAACAATTACCAAAATCGATCTCTACTTCATAAGCTAAGACTTACATTCCGTTTCAAATTCTCTGCATCTTTCATATTCGAAGTATGAAATGTTGATTGCCACCCACGCCCTATTGCAGAACTTCGATTATCACCATTCGACAAGATCCTTGAATATCGCACACCATCTTGAGGGTGGGTGCGAACTTGAGTAAAGTAGGAATACTCACCCACATACGAATCACTGAAAGAAATTGCGACACCATTTTCTATCTACTTCTTATTCTTACCTCTCAGTACTAGATAAGAAAATTACGAACGAATTTAAAAGTCTATCATCCTAGAACTGCGCTAAAAATGGAGCAAATTTTAAAGAGAAGACGCAGAAATAGTCATACACGTCTCGACATATGCATTTACTGTTTTCTTTCGAATTTTTGATCACTGTAAAAAACGTCGCCATTAAATGTCACATAGTCTCAACATTTGGAGTTGTTTTCACCAAGCTATACTTCCGATAAATAGAAATATAAGGAGTTCGTGTTTCTATTGTCTTTTTTATTTCCTCTTACACATGTACAGAGAGGTAGTATATAAATAGTTTTCATCTTCTAGATTGATTATTACTGAAATGTCGACATCTACCAGTGAGAATCGCGTACTACATACTGCCGACTACAATAACCGTTTCAATGCGCAAGCTTATCTCGAACGCATTTATTCGGGTGTCGATGTTGATCCAAATGTGGCGCCTTTTTCAACTTTCTTCATTCAAAATGTCGTTCGAATTTTGCAAGACGATCAAAAACATGTTGGCAACAAGAAAGCTCTCGAATTTGGTGGTGGACCGAACTTATGGCCATCGTTTCTTCTCGCTCAATATGTTGATTCAATTCGTTTTTGTGACTATGCACAATGCAATATCGATGCTATTAGTAACTGGATCAAACAGAAACCGAACGCTTTTGATTGGACAAAGTTTTTCGAAAGTATTCTTGATGCTGCTGGAAACTCAAGAGAAAAGTGCGTCGAATGGGAGTCACGTCTTCGCGATGCTCTCATTCAAGGTGGCCTGTCGACATGCGATGTCAATGATCCGCATTGTCCAATTTTAAGTTCAGAAGCCAATACATTTGATATTATTTTTAGTAGTCTCTGCTTGGAAGCAGCTTGTTTAACGATTGAAATATTCAATGAAACAATCAAACGTCTCATACGTCTGTTGAAACCAGGTGGTCTACTTCTTCTTGCCATGGTTCGAAATGAATCTTTTTACTATGTTGATAGCAGAAAATTTTTCTGTTTGCCTCTTGATGAAACAAAAGTCAAACGAGCGTTGCATGAGACAGGTGATGTGGAGGATATTTACATTAATAGCTCAGATACAACAGTCGACAATTCAAAACACAATACAGTAGCCGATTACGATGGAAAAATGATTATAAGCGCATATAAAAAAATCTAACCGACATCATTGCAAATTTTCGACTGCAATAATCATGATGACTCTTGAATATAATCCAGAAAATGATCTTTATACTTATGTTTGAGAAACAATAAATAAAGTTGATTCAATATTTACTTGTTCTTTTTGTTTTCACTTCCAGAAGCAGTAGGGTGTGGGTGTGGGTGTGGGTGTGAATGAGAAAAAGAAGACATCCACACTCTTTTATTTACATAAACTTATAATAATAAAATTGTTAGACTCTTTTCTATTCTAGTGTTTACATTCGGGGCAAGAATGTGGGTAGATGGATGAGAGCGTATATGTAGGATGACTATAATGCCTACCCTCACCATCAAGATGGTTTTTTATATATACCTGATAAAGTAGATAATTGTTTGTTATTTATCACCAACCCTGCTTTCTAGCTAATGCCGTTAGGGATGTATCTGGATTTCCGCTGGTTTTTGCGATTTTCTAACCTTTCATAGGAGTCAAACGTCGAACAGAGTGTATACTCATAATCAGAATGCACAATTCCATCGAATGTCATGTCTTTTAGTGACAAAAATGAAAGTTATCAAATGACGTTAAAGCGTAGGTGTGAATGCAAGTATATGTATGAATATGGGTACTATGAGTATCTTTCGCCCACACTCTCAACCACATAGGAACTAGTTTACTATCAATTATTGAAAACAAAAAGACTTCAAAACAATATTAAAAAAAATCAATAATATTTGCAAGTATTGAATTTGTTAATCCTTTCGATGATTTGAAAGAACGATCAGTATTTTAATTTATATTTCTTCGGCGATAGTATAAGTAATTGAAGACAAACGTTTATTAAATCCAGCTAAGCTCTTAAAATATCATTTTCTTCATTATTGCTTGCTCGAAGATTAGATTCGAAACGAAATAAAAGCAGAGCGAGCATTAGTGCAAGGTCACAGTTTCAAAAACAATGATCATGTCTTCGTTTTTTGTTGGACTCTTAACTCTGCTATTACTGAACCAATTTGCGAAAAGTTTATATGTAACACCAACGTTTGAAGATGAACGTGGCTTTCAATCGGCTGGATATCCGTAAGAATGATGAATATATACGAAAATAAAATAATATTATTCTATACTTATATCGTTACAAATGTAGAGCGATGACGAAAGAACGTGCATATCAACTTCTCTATCCATCGATCAGCAGTCGATCAAGTGCAGATGCATTTCTTGATAAGCTCGTTGTGCCAGGTGGAGAAACACCAATCAAGTTTTTCTGGTCAGGTTTTGGTGTTCCTAATAGTGCTGAAGTAGCTGCTGAAATAGCACGTTATCATAATGGAGTAACACTTGAGATGCTACTTGAAAGACCAGAAAATGCTGCTGTAAAACAACAAATGTGTATTTGGCCGGCAAGAGAGGATATCTCGCCTGTTGCTGAAGCTTGTCGAGCACAATGGAGACGTCTCTCGCAGGTATATGCAGAGAAAGCACGAGGTAAATTATTTTATCTATGAATGATCATCAAAGTTTGTGAGCAAATAGAAGAGATAGAATCCATTTATTTTAGGACCTGTCACTCCCATACTTGGTGATCACGTAGCGCCTGACAGTGTATGGATGACACATGAAAAAAATGCTCTCAATCAGAGTCAACAAAAAGGAAACTATATTTATGGATTTCAACGTCCAATGAATCTTTACGAAGTATACTGCGTCAAAATGGCTAAGTCTAGATCCGATTATCCAGAAATTAAAGAAAAAATATGCACGAAGCAAACTGGTTAATATTATGTTTCTACCTCACATATTATTTGATCAATATATCTTCATTGTTTTTGCTTTTCTGAAATAAATAAATTCTTTGACGAAAGGACATACTGAGAGATTTAACAGCGTCCGATTCGATAGAGAATATGACAAAGATTTTTTAGATGATTTATTTCAAATTCTTCACCCACAACCGCATTCACAGCCTCGAGTCTTCGAACAACCATATAATATCTCAAACAAAGCCAATAAACATCGAGTATTCTTTATGAATTATTCGTTATATAAAATGAGTAGAAAAAAATATTTTATTTAAATTATTGCTGCATATATTATGCTAACTTCTTCACCAGACTCGTCAATGAAGTTATTCGTTACTTGTCAGGCTTTTTTCTTTTTTCTTTGATATTTGTTGAGCACTTTCAACAATTAGTTTAATCAAGAAAATACTAGTCAACAAAAATGGTCTTGTAACAGTTGTCGTGCAGTGGAATCATAAATGTATTTTTTCTGCTGGAAAACACTTGCTGCACAATGTATGGTGCATTTTTGACGACGAGTAAATATTAAAATGGCAGGAAAAAAATAGTAACTACGGAGTTCAAACAATTTTGAAACAAAAAATAACATGTTTTGGCTAATGATTGTTTTATCTGTATTATCTGCTGTCGAATCGATTAAAATTGGTAAAATAGACAATTATATCATGATTGGTATTATAAATAACTCATTGATTGGCATAAGTGAAGATCAATGTATTTGTCAAATGATCAAATCAAATTTTTCAACATTAAATTATTTTCAAACTAATAAAACATGTAACTTATTAAATAATAATATGAATTTGATTTTAATTGAATTTAATCTCGATTCATTTTTTATATTTATTAATCGATCATCTTTATTAATCACGAGTATTCAATCAAGTAAGAGACTTCTTCGAAGTGGTTCATTCTATTTAGAATATAAATGAAGTCTTTATAGTCTGATATCAATTAAAAAATGATTGAAAAAAGATTCAACTATCATTTTATCGTAGATAGATCTCTGTACATTCTAAAACTAATTCTATTACTGACGTCATACAGCTAACATTTGTAACTACAAAAATATCCGATCAAGATATCCAGACCTCTCGTTGAATTATTTTTAACATCTAATCTTTTAATGTTTTACGGTTCGTTCTCAAATGTCTCAAGCTAGTTTCTATCTAAATTTACAGTCTATAAATTTAATTTAAAATATTGACTATCCCTACTTCTATAAACCTAATTTTCCTGAAGATCAATCTGTTTCAATATTGATTTTTATTAAAATACAGAAAACATAGTTCACTGAAAAACTAAAATTATTTTTATTTACGAAACCCTCGGATGTTTCTTATCGGCTGAAAGTTTATGCACATATATCTCTTGTCCAACGTTTTAGGCACATCGATGTCGACAACTACTACAAAATCAACGTCAACATCAACATCAACAACAACCACAACAACAACATCAACATTAACATCAACAACAACATCAACGTCAACAACAACGTCAACATCAACGTCAACATCAACATCAACATCAACATCAACATCAACATCAACATCAACAACAACCACAACAACAACAACAACAGCAGTCACGTGTAAGATCTTTTTTCTATAAACATTGAAGTTACACATGAGAAGAATGTGTTAGTATCTATCTCATTTGAAAAAAATAATGTTAGGGATTCTTTCAGTTGACAAAAAACAAAGAAAACTTATCTTGTTTTTTATGAGTCGTCCATCGATATTGAGTTCTCTTTATCGCTATTAATTAGTAAAGGACGTGATCGTTGTGATAGAAGCATGCAAATAGTATTGACAAACTTTTATAGTGTTGGAAATGTGTCATTCATTTTTGATCTTCAATAATATCACGTTATCTATTTGTTTTTAGTCATACCAACTGGAATATATGCTCTGACAATTCCAACATGTGCCACTTGGAGTCAGTTAGGAATCACAGTAGCTGGAAATGCTAATGGAACATCAGGTTCCGACTTATATTCACTCGCGAGTCCCGTCGGCATCTTTATCGATAATAATGATACTCTATATATTGCTGATCGAGACAACAATAGGATTATGATGTACTATGCCAACGCAGCTAGTGGATTAGTCGTTGCTGGTGATCTTACAGCTGGTAGTAGTTCCAGTCAATTAAATTCTCCTAAAGGTGTTGCTGTTGATCAATATGGTTCCATCATTGTTGCAGATAGTTCGAATTATCGAATTCAAAGTTTTCCATCTGGTTCGATGGTGGCCAATACAATAGCAATGAACAGTGTAGTCAATCCTCTCGGACAAATTCGAGATTTACACATTGATGTTAATAATAATATCTATGTTACCGATTCCGATTACAACCGAGTTGTAAAATTTTCTACTGGCAATGCAGTTGGTGTTGTTTTAGCACCTACTAATGGTACAGGTTCAGCGGCCAATCAATTGTTAGGGCCTTTTGGTAATTTTATAGATGGCAATCAAACATTGTACATAGCTGACACTAGAAACAGCAGGGTGCAAATGTGGATTTCTGATGCGATAAGTGGAATAACTGTTGCCGGCGAGACTGGTGTAGCTGGTTCAAGTTTGGCATTGTTGAGTAATCCAGAAGCGATTACTGTTGACAATAACGGGTATGTTAATAAAGTTTGGATTAAAACAATTTATTTTAATGATAACGATATATTAACTTTCATTGGCAGGTATATATACGTGGTAGATGAAGGCAATGCTCGCGTTGTTAAGTGGACAACAAACTACACTACAGGTGGTGTCTGCGTAGTCGGTTGTAGTGGTATTATAGGGTCAGCTAATAATGAGCTTAATGGTCCTCGAGATGTAAAATTCGATTCACAAGGAAATTTATATATCACCGATCAAGCAAACCATAGGATACAAAAATTTTTGATACAACTGCCTACATCACCTTGTTCACCGTAGTGAATACTCATATTCGATCATATAATTATTGCCTACAAGATGTCTAGTTCTGCTACATTTTAAAAAAGACATTTGATGAAAACGAAAAACAGTGACACACTGATACTCATATTTTCGATTTTCTTGACAGTCATATAAATGACTGAGTATAATGTTACTATATATTTTATTGATCTATCGTACTATCTTTTATTTATTTTTTTGTGCTTTTATCAGTCATTTTTTGTTGTTGATGTTGTACAAACACTCATTCTTTTCAAGTTCTTGAAACGTGTATTTTTGACTCATTCGCTACATATACTACGATCTTTAGAAAGACAAAGACAAGTCTTTTTTATTGCTTTGATCTCGAGAATGACAAACGTAAAGATAATAAAAAATGAATGCAATACTTCTAAATTCAATTAAAAGGACTTCTGTAGCAACATAATCGTATTTTTGATAATTGTTTTCTTGAGAGAAAAGAATTACTAGACAATTAAAATATTTCTATGTGCGAGTTTACTTTTTCTACTCAGGGTATGGGTGTAGTTGCAAAGAGCATGATATGGTTATTTATCAAAATTCTTTAATTTCTCTTGTAAAAAATTTTAAAAGGGCTTTTAAATTTATATGAGAGAACATAAAAATGTCAACTTTTTTAGTAGCTGCTGACCAAAAAAACCCAGTTGCACAATGTGTCTATAGAAGGACAATTATTCATCATGTCAACAATGGTATTCTTGAGAGTGGGAAAAACTCCAGTAATGAAACTATAAAATGGGTCGCGTTTTTATTAAAATTTGCCGACGGATAGTTTGTGATATAAAATCAATATGGCAACTGCTAAACATGGTGTTCTATCTATTGATGTTGAATGTGTAGCAACAACTCATACTCATGAAGATCGATCTCCCTGCAGTGTCGCTATTGTCGATGATAAATGTCAAATTATATATACATCACTGATAAAACCAACTGAAAAAGTTGTTAGTGATCTTTATCCATTAACTGGCTTACACATGGAAGATCTTGAACAAGCACCTACATTGGAAGAAGTTTTACAAAAAGTACAGAACAACATATATTTTCAAGACAGTTTTGTTATTTTTTCATATTTAGATCTATCCATTGTTCGATGCAACAACGATCATTGTTGGTCAACGTCCACAAGGTGATATTAAATGGTTAAAACTACAGAAAGATGTACACTATTCACAAATTGTTGATTTAAGTGAATGGTTTAAAACATATAATACTCGTTTTGGTTCAATAAAGTAAACTAAATTGATAATTTAAAAAGAGAACAAAAATGTTATTTCTATTAATATTTATTTAGTTATTTTTCATTGGCACATGAAGCTTGGACATTATTAAATATCGATCTCAATGCGAAAAATGGTCATTTAGCTACACAAGATGCTAAAGCATCGATGCAATTATATTTAAAATATAAGGTAATTTTTTATGAAACCTCTAATTTCATATATAACTTTAATCTTATAGGATAATGAAAGAGGAAACGAAGATGCTCGTAGACTTTTACTAAATAATCGACCTGGTATAACACCAGCAAGGGCTTGTAACTACAATTATGAAGGTGTTTGTCTAGGTGGATATTTTCCAAAAATGTGTTCTTGTAATCGACCTTCGTTATCGAACAACTAAAACAAATTTTTATTCGTGAATAATCAAGCAAATTCTTTTTCAAATAACATAATCATTATATCTGATGAATAATCTGATAACCTTGAAAATCAATCTGTCAATATTATATTTAATGAAATACAAAACCCTTTACATTATTAACCACTTCTTTCAAAACTGTCTTTATCACAGCGTCACTTATTGATGTACTTTTTCTCTTTTTTCCTATTGTATTTATTTATCGATATAATTCATAATCATGATGTAAAGAAAAATACGTCTGATTCGATCATAAATTTTTGTTCCTTCATCTTTTCTCAGTTAAATATTTGATAATTGCTATGATAGAGCAAAAAATACTTGTATAAATACACCGACAATTTCTATCAGAATACAGAATTAAACTCTTTTTCGTAAAAATTAATATGAAGACAACTATTATTTTGGCCATTTTTGCTGCACTCTGTGTTATATCATCATTAGATGCTAAACGTTTATTTTATGATAATGATAATGATATGGAATTAACAGATAAGAGAGCTCGTATGTTTCTTCGTTCAATGATGGGTGATGATGATGATGATGATTTAACAGCATTTGATAGACGTGAACTTCATACCGCTGGCAAGAATTGTGTTAAATGTAAATTTGGAATAAACCCTTGTTGTGCACCGAACGTCTGTGTTAAAAAAAGTTTTCGTCCAGATGAATGTATGGAAATTAAAACAGGCAAATAAACTGGCATATTAAATAAACTTGATTTTCTTTTCATTTAACCAGGCCATTAGATTTTCAGAATCCATGTCTCTTTTTTGTCATATTAATAACGAAAATAGCGTTTTTTCAGTGAATGATTTTAGTTTATTTTTTCAAAAAGTTTTAAATATATTCATGTCCTTAAAATTGTTTTGGTTTTGATTATTAATCTAATTTAGAGGAAATAAAAGAATGTGGATATGAGTGTTTCTTCGATCTTCATACACACTCACATGAGATTCATTCAGGGAAGGTGAAGCGACTGTTTTTGTTAATTTACATATTTTAACACTTAATCTTGCCCGTATATTTCATTTCTTTTTCAAAAACAAAGCTGGCAGTTTGATATTAGAATGATCTGCCTCTGATGATAAATTTTGTTCGGTCTCATATGCACAACTAATACTAAGAGAGATAATAGAGATCAACTAAAATCGTTTTAAATCTGATAGATCAGTTGTTCTTTACAAATGATTTTATTCAAGAATATAAATGTATGATCAAATATATTCGATTATATTGTTATTGATTTGATTTATAGAAATGTGTGAATAATTTTTAATTTTATTTAATAAAAAACCAATACTTAATTTTCTTCAGTTTAGTGAAATAATAAAATAGTTGGTTTTACGTTAATTTTATTGATGAATAATCATTCGATCTCAAATATTTTTTCATGTGTATCATTATCATTATGTAATGATACGAAAAAGAAAAAATATTTATAATTATGAACATGTCTATTTAAGAAAAAATAATATACCCTTTCTTATTCAAGTTACTCTTGTACATACGCGTTGTGTAAAATATCATAATATAAGTACATTCAAATATGTTATTCATAATATGAATGGCTAGTCATAATAACAATAATAATATGGAAGCCTTGAAAGGTATTTGAGACTATGTAAGCTCATGAATAAATCGATTGAAAATGAAATACTTATAAATATATTTAGACAAGTGGAACTAATTTTGATGTGTTTTAAAAGAACTCGAAATTAATAAAGTAATACGCACAATAGCTAAAATGATCATTTAGATCGGAAACAAAAGTGAAAACAACATCTTTTGAATTTATATCAGGAATTGAATTTGAACATGACTACTACATTCGAAGATGGTAAATGGATACAAAAAGTACATTGGAAAAATGGAAAAAAAAATGTCTGTTCAACGATGGATTAATAATCAAGATCAATTAGAAGTTGTTAGTTCTATTCTACTATTATTCGTTTTTTTTAAATAAGATTATTTTTATTTAAAATAGATTATGAAATAGTCAGGTATTAGTTCTCATTGAATCGAACGAGTTTAAACATTAGTGGACGATCTTGTCTGAAAAAATAATCTGAATCTTCTGGTAATATTCTTGTAGAAAATTTCGGCTAGCTCTTTTTTTTCTCTTGAATATAACGCGTTTGTTAGAAGAAAAAAAGAACATTACAGATATATTATAAAATCTACTGTGTTCACATTTAACGTTTAGAAGTATTCATAATTCATTAAATCATGATGTTTTAAAAGCTAAAAACAATCACAATTTGCCATACTAGTATAAAATAACAAGTGTATTTTCGTTATTAAATGCTTCTACTAACATTACGACAGCATGCAACCGTTAATCGTTGCTTGAAACGAATATTTTTTATTCACTTAATCGAAGACTATTAAAAGCCGTTATTTATTCTCGTCCAAAAATAAATGCATAACGTGCAAACATTGATTTATATACATATATAAAAAGACATTTCGTGTCGTTCATCTTGAGAATTAGGCAAAAAGATTCTTTCACTATGAATTTCATCATTTTTTCATATTGAAAATTGTTAAAATAAAATTCATATATAAAATTTAATCTGATGATATTTATTATGTTTGTTTTCAATAAAAAGAAACATGTCAGATTCATTTTTAAAATCTTAATATATCTTATATATATTTAATAAATTCCTTATTGACCTTAATAGAGAAAATCCAATTCATCTGATAAAAGAATATAAAGAAATCTATTTGATAGAGAAATCGTTTGAGAAAATTTCTTTGTTCTTCGCTCGAAAATTATCTTTCGTTTTATTTGGAATTTTAGATCTATTTTCCTTCAATTGTACCCATTCATATATCAGTTTTAAATGTATCATAAATCCTTTATTATAATTCGAGTAGCAAAAGCTTCTGTACAAAGATTAATAATTTCAAATTTTGTTGCAGTCTATTTAATTGATTTATTTTGCTATTCTGGTTTTACTTATTGATGAAACAATTAAATCAGCTGAATGAAATATAATTGCACAAATAATTTCAGGGATATAATCTAATATAGATGTTATACCAAGCTGAGTAGTTTTATCTGTTGTAAAGATATGAATGTAAAAATGATTCATATTTTAATTTTCTTTTTCTGTTTGATGAAGGTGTTTGTAAAAGGAAAAAGAATTGAAGTTGTCAATGCCGTTTCAAAAGAATAAAATTTTGCAACTGTATATGGAATTTATCCTGACCGTAAAGATATAATTGATCCATAAGGAGATCCTATTATATTTTTATTTCTATTTATTTCAACAATAGCTACTGATAGTACCATGAGAAATATTCCTGGAATACTTGTTTGAACTTTAACCATTTCCTTTATATTTTTGAACATATTTTTCTCCAATCAAAAAAACTTTAAATACTCCATAAAGATTATTTAAAAGCATCTTGAGGGATATATTCTAAAAGTATTATTTTTGGTGTTCATTCTTTTAATATCGCCCGAGTTCTCTCTTCATCAATAATTTTTCTAAGTCCATTTATTAAGTAGGTATACTTAGCTGGATTGATCTGTAACAAATAAAAGGTTTCCGTCATTTCTGTTATAGATGAATAATTATTTTTTTTTTCATTATTTTAATGTGCTAATGTAAGTTCACATTTGAAGAAAAAAGAGAGAAATAATATCGGTATGAAAAGAGGAGAAGATAAAAGAAAGGAATAATATAATAAAAAATGTCACAATGTCGTTTAGTGGCCTTACGTGTATATATATAGTAGTATTTGTAGAAGAGGACTGAGAGAATATACAATAGAGATAATGGATGAATGGAAGCGTATGTAATCTATTCGTGTATCATTCTTCGTTTATTATTTGTAACTCAATTACGTTTTTACAAGTATGCTTTATTTACGTTATCTTATTTCTTAGAAAACAGAAAAAAAGGTTTTATTTGTCGGCTTTCTTTGGTTTATAAAGATTGAAGAAATTTATGTATTCAGTAACTGAACTGAAAAAATCTAGCTGATTCTTTTGTGTTCTTTTAAACTCTTTCCAATTCTTGCGCAAATTGATGGAATTTTTTTAGTTAATACACTGATAAAGTTAAATGAAATGACAGTCTAATTTACAAAACACCAAAATAGTTCAATAAAATATCTCAAACTCATTACTTATTGAATTACTTGATTGATTTAGATTATTTTGTAGAGAAAATTATTCGAAATTACCATCTAACTTTTATCAACATTAAATATATTAATATTGAATTCTTGTGTCTATCTAAAGTGTATTAAAATTAACTATTGAGAGTGTCTTTACAAGTTTTGTTGGAAAATTTTGATCAGATAGATCTCAATAAAATATCAAATATAATCAAATTTAACAATCACTTTAGTCTGATACTAGACGCTTCGACATACGTATTATATACTTAATATTATTAACATCTTGTAAACTCTAAATCAATTGTATCGTTCAAGCTACCTTTAACAATCATTATTATTCATCAGCAGTTTTTCTTTTTCTTCTCTTCTAAAATGAATCTTTCTATACATCAGAAAAATCAAGGTCTTCTATTATGTCCTTATTAATTTCTTACAATTCAATATTATGAGTGCTAGTTAAAATCTTCTTACTAATTTTTTTAGCTTATAATGTTAGCATCAATATCGGTTTAAATCTTCTCATAGTGGTTTATTAAGAGTGATTGAACCGAATAATCATAACATCCTATATACAGAGTACTCCATAAATCACTTTATAGAAAAAATATTGAATAACTCCTTTATGACTCGATCAAACGTAGTGGGATCTGTGTTAAGTGAACTGTTTTCTTTTCTTATCTGCGAATAAATAAAATTGTCTTGTTAATGTCGATAGTGGTGTTTAACAAAACTTCTTAGTAATCTTGCTCGTATGGATTTGAAGCATGAACATACCTCTATCCTGATTAAAATAAACGAACCTGCTTGATCGAGCCGTGATGAAAATATCCATTATCTATTCTTAATAAATTGATTTATGAGCCACCATGTATTTGACGAAGAATAGAACAAATACATGTAAGTAAATATAGGAAAGTAGTGATGGAAGAATAAGATGTTATGGAGTATATAATCAGCAAATGACATATCTCACTATCACATTACCATTCGTTGTAACCTTTATTTTACATATTTATATACCGCATATGTCCTTGAACAACGAGAATAGACAAATATAATTATGCATAAAAGACGAGTTTCTTTCAACGCGTGGCTGATATATTTTCATATAATCAACGAGAGACGAAGAAATATTATTAATAATTTTAAAATATGGACGTTTGCAGGTATGTAAAATGAAAAAAACTTGAGCAATATTTCAAAAACCAACTAACATATAGGATCTTCTAATGTGTCAAGGACTTTAGTAAGAAAATGTCTTATCAAATTTCTTCTATGCCTGATACAGATAATGATAGATACTAAAATTTCTATTTCTAGTCGTACTCGAATTAGACAACTGCGTGATATAGTACTACATCTTATGCTATTTAATTTCAGCAAGCATAAAAGTAATCATGGATGACGATGATGTTCAAATTGGTATTCAAGAAGTGCCTCCTATTCGAACTATTGATACAAATTTTGATATTCCTAATATTCGAAAAATAAAATTTCCTGATGGCTCATTAATCAGCTGTGAACATGCAATTAGAATCGATAATAATAACAGAACGCAATCAGAAGTATTGGATACATTACTCAGTGGTGCTTTACAAACTCGTGGACATTCATTAATGGAAGATCAATTCTTTAATTTAAATGACATAGAATTGGAAGCAATGAGCAAAAAATATAAAATAGCATTCCAACGATGTACTATTGAATTAGACTCTACCACTGATAACTATGTATTTAGCGCTGTATATCACTATCAAACGCTTCCTGTAGTTTATGTAATTGATTATGGAAGAGAAGTTATTGCTCTTTGTATTTCATCTAATTCATATTTATATAATCTTTATCGAGAACTGAATAACAATCGGAATAACACAGCTATACTGCATTTTAAACTAGCGTGCTATTATGAGCAAAGAGCAGAAGAAAATGATTACAACTTAGCTTTATGGCAAAATGCTTGTTATCATTATGCCCAAGTTCTTAATTATAAGAGAAATACTGGATTGATATATTCGGCTACAATAGGTAACTGTAAATGTCTTGTACAATTAGGTAAATATGGTTGTGCCAGAAAAAAATTAGCGAAATTATATCATTTATATGGTTCCGCACAACACTGGCTTCTGTTAGCCAAAATACAACGAAGAACAGGGCAGAATGATAAAGCAATAGAAACTATAAAAAAATGTTTTATATATGAAGATAACGATAGGAAAGTCTTAATGGAACAAAAATTAATTAAACAGAAAGATACAAGAGAGCAAACACTAAGCAACAATGCATTAAATGATCGAGAAGGTCTAACACGAAAAACATATAATGAATTAGTATACAATATTTTATCAATTGATGGAGGTGGCTTTAGAGGACTTATACCAGCTATCTGGCTAGCAGCTATTGAACGAAAAACAAAACATCATTGCTCGTCTATGTTTCAAATGTTGGCTGGTACATCAACAGGTGCTATTATTGCTTGTGGTCTTTCGATGCCTTCTGCATTAAAAATCGAAGAGACCCATTATAGAGCAACCGATATTGTTGAGCTATATAAGAACCACGCAAACGAAATTTTTATCCCTGCAACACGTCGTCGGTTGCTTTATCGATGGTGTACGCAATCATCACGTTATTCAAGAAGTGGTCGTGAAAATCTTTTCAATCGGTATTTCAAAGGTGTTTTATTAAGTAATTGTATAACGGACATCGTTGTACCAGCTGTAGTAGCGGATCGTACTCGTACTCAACTTTTCACACGCTATGATGCACGACTAGGAAATATTCGACCTCCTTATCTAGTAGATGTTCTGATGAGTACTACGGCTGCTCCGACTTATTTTCGCCCACATGCATATGATTACTCGGCTTATATTGACGGTGGTGTTCAGATGAATAATCCAACCATGGCTGCTTATTCAGAAGCTTTACGTTACGGTTATCACAATAAAAATATATTCGTATTATCCTTAGGTACTGGTGATTACATTCATAATCCATTACAGTGGCCAACTGCAAATCGTAACTGCTATTTTTGGCTACGTAATAGAAAAATTATTCTAAAAAATCTTTTTGATATTGCACAAAATAATATAGATTATCAAATGAGTATGATCTTGAATGAAAATAATTATCATCGTTGGCAAATATGGTTTGAAGATGAAATATTACTAGATGATTATGGTCCTGAAACTATAGAAATTTTAGAAGATTATGCATATACATTTTTAGAGGAATTAGAAGGCCGTGATGATAATAAACGATTGGGCGTTGTATTAGACCGATTGGATTAGTGTAGGTGTTCTATTATTAATAAATCATATCAAACATGTAAAGCATCCAATTGAACAATAGTCGTAAGGATGTGAATGTAATTAACACTTACTTTTCGCTTCACGCACACTTTTAAAATCTACATATAAATCGTTTTGTAAATAAATGTAAGTATCAAGTTGAATGATAATGAACAATAAATACTTTCTTTCAAACTCATCTGTATTTAATCAAGCTTATAGAATAGAACAAATATTTCAAGTATCTTAATTGATTTTTTTAATTTTATAAAGAATTCTTTTAAATGAACGTTGAAAAAAAATTGTACTGCTGGACAAGCAGGTATGGGTGGTATGTTCTGAATATAGCTATCAAACTGAATTATAAGTATGATGGGTGATGTATTTGTGGTAGAAAAATAGGAGATAGATCGTTACGTCAAACGAACAGAATTTAACATACGAGATCGAGATGGAGCTCGAATTATTATAATTGTAGATGGAACTAAAATTATTGAATAGTGATATTGTCATACACACTCACATTCACAAGGATTTAACACGAAACCATCTCTCAAGTACAAACATGATAATTTTTTCCCATCATGCAAGAACTTTGCCGAGATCAACTAAAACATACAATCCTCATCAATTATAAAATCTATTCATCTTTCTATAAATACCCTCATATAATATCACTTTTTCTCTGCTAATAAAATTTAATGGCATATAACGCATTCAAGACTATCCAAGTACAAAGTCGAAATCAAATATGGAAGTTAGTCTCATTCACAACCACATCTTCAAGGTTTCTTTCATAGGATATATTCAATAAACTTCAACGAATTGATAAAAATACTGTCTAGTACATTTATTTAAAAAACAAGGAATGCCATTACACATGGAAAAGGAAAAATTTATCTGATATTAAAAACATCAAAAATAATTTACTACTGTAAATACAAATATTATGACTAGACATAACTTGACAAGATTAAAAATAAATATCGTTGACTGAAATAAATATGATGCGGATGAGAAGACACTTGCATCAAAAGCAAAACAATCATTTGTAACTACATTAAAATTATTTGCCTCACAAAATTGCAAACCTGATTTATAAAGTGTACCTAATAAATAACAATGATTAAGAATATATTTTTTAAAAAGCATAAATATTAATTACACATACCAATAGTATTTCCACTAAATTCAGCTGTTTTACAATGTTGATAGAATTCATTACAAAATGTTTCACAAATCTTAACACGTTTTTTAATATACCATAGATATTGATCAGGTGCACAGAAAAAACACATAAGATAATTCATCATATTTCGACATTGTGTTGATGCTTGATGTAATGTATACATTGATTCAAAAACACTTGCTACTTCAGTTCGTTTACAACATGCATCTTTTTCATACCATGAACAATTAGCTAAACCTTCTTCAACTTTTGGATAACGATCATCAGCTAGAAAGATTAATTGATTTATGAATATTCACTTGTTTATGCAAAATAATAACTTACAAAAAAATCGACATGGTCGTGTGGAATCAAAACGAAGTTTAATCAATTCAACATCATCTTCATATTCTTCTAATGTCAATGCATCAGTAAAACCAGTATTTAAATCAATAGAATTTGTATACTGTGCAATAGATAATATAAGATAGAATAATATTAAACAATAATTCATTGTCAATTATCACCATTACAAATTACATGAAAAGGATTGTCGAATATCAAAATATCTAGAACAATTTAATTCAAAATACAACAACGACTATTTTCTTATCATACTTCACTAAATCATCTTATTTTCATTGATTAATATCATTATTATATCTAGAAAAAAAACAAATACAAATTATGTAACATATTAAAATGCTATAAAAAATGAAATTTTGATTTCTTTAACAATAATATTATTATTTCAATTCACTGCAAACTGCGTATAACTCCATATAACAATAAATGCACAAAAAAAACAAATGACTTTAAAAAAAACGATTAATTGTAAATAGCACCTACATAAATCAAGTAATACACACACACATGCATACGTCATTCGATGATTATGGGTCGACAAATGAAACCATAATATATCTTGTTCCTTTCGTTACTGGTAAACCTTCATGTAAATGTGTTAAACGACCTGGTTGCATTAATGCCCAACCACGACGTGTTGATAATACTGAACAATTCTGTCGAACAAATCGACAACCACCACCCTATATTAAATTATATTTTTTCAAATTAAAAAATTCGTTATTTTACTTCATAATCTTTGCCAACATCATTCAATGCAAGATTAATTGTATATGTTGATGCATCATGATGAGCTCGTAAACTTTTTTGACGATCCGGCATATAACGAACAACAAAATTAAGTACAGCTTTTGGTGGCTATAATAAATTATGCAATAAATTTATTTAAATATTATAAAAATCATGACTTACATCACTAAAATAACCTGTAAAAACTTTTTGTTGTATTGGTTGAACAATATCTCTAAGAATAAATAACCAATGTTCTTGAAAATCTACTTGTGTCATATGTATATCATCTGTTGGAACATTTTCATAACCACCGGCTAATCGAACATCCTAATTAAAGAATTTATTAATTTTATTTGCTTATCAATAATTCATGGCTTTACTTGATGTAATGCTCCAGACCATATATTGTATGTTTCCATAACATTAATAAAACTCTCAGTAAATTCTTCAGATAGAAATGGAAACCAATATACATCAGTACATGGCTAAAATTTTCGTAATTACAAAAGTCGATCAAATAGAAAGAATATTTTACCTGTTCGATAGTTGCATTAGGTTCAAGAGACTTCTGATAATCAGGATGAAGATAACGAGCTTTCCAATCCTAGCAAAAAAAGTATGTAATAAATTTAATCAAATAAAATTTCGAGAATAATTTACTTTAACATTATTAAATATTTCATATAATTCAGGTTGAGTTAATGATATATTAAAATTTTCTGGATCAATTAAATGTCCAAAATTCATTTCATTATTTATAAACATAAAATATCCCTTTAAAAAAAAGATAAAGAAAACTAGAAATAAAAGAACTTTCTATTATCTTACAGCATCCCGTATTGATTGACAAACTTTCACATCTGGATCTACTGCTGAATCAATATATTTCGGTGTAAAATGTTGAAGAAATGTTCCATTAATTAAATAAGCATGAGCAATATGCGGAACATTAAAAAGACCCCTAAAACAAAAGTATCTGTCAGTAAAGAATCATGTATTCAAAAAATCTATTTTACATTTTATTATAATTAACAAAATCCATATAATCCGGCGATCGTAGGTAAAATCCTTCATCAGAATAATCTCCCCAAAAATTACTCCAAGTCTGTCCTGGTCTTAGTAACATTGGTGCAACAACAGTTCGATTGATATTTATTAATGCAATTAATGTATCTGGATGATCAATATGAACAATTGAATCAATAACAAAGAGATAATCACATTTATCTTCTTGACATTCATGACTAAATATATTTAAAACAAAAAATTTGTGTCTATTTTTTCATTTAATTAAAATATACATTGCTTGTTGTCGAGCTTCACCTTCAGTCATATCATAACCTAAACAAAAAATTAAGAACGTCTTTTTAGAATTTTATAAAATTTAACTTACGTGATTATGAATTAGAACACCCATACGTTGTTTTGGATAGGTAATTTTCATAATTTTTTCAAAATATTCTCGAAGAAATGGTGTAGGATATTCAATAAATAAAGCTATATAAACCATAGGCCATTTTGTAAGCTTAATAAGACAAAAGATTTTAAAAATATTTTTTAGAACATATTTATTCCTACATCATCAATTTGAGTTACATCCACTACATTTTCTTTACTTTGTAAACATCCAGTTGTTGGCGACCAAGTACGAGCAATATAATTACTTAGATAATTCAAACTTTTCTATTAGAAAAAAAGCAATTTGTAATTAATAGATAAACATAATTTGATATTACTTTGCCAGAACCATATCCTTGAATAACAGTTGGAGTTGAATTTGTCCAAGTATTGTGTACATAAACATCATCTCCATTAACAGGTAATTCAAGTTCATCAATAGCATCATTTAAATTCATAAAAATTTCAGCACCTTTATCAATTACAACTGACCATTTATTCTAAAGAGCAGAAATGCAACTATGAAAAATTAATTCTATTTTTGTTGTTATCTACTCGAGTTGTTTCATCAAGAAAAAGTTTTGTAAAAAATAATTGTTCATCTTTGATTTCATCTTGACTTGAGATCATTTCATATATATCAGATGCATATCCCATAAAACTATCAGCATTTAAAAAACGTTTTTCATTACCTTCAACCAATGGATAATCATACTAAATAAGAATTTGTATAGAATATTCATTTTTTTCAAAATAAAATAATTTATTTTTACTTTTAATTGTTCATCAGGCCAACAAACATCTTCTGCACCAAATACAATTCGAGCTGGTTTTAATGCTTCAAATTTATCAAGAACAAATTCTGATCCTTGACTAAAGATTGCATTATAAGCATCAGTAACTAGAAGAACTTTTGTTTTATCATCTTTATAACGAACAAGATTTTCTCGAAGTATCTTCATCCATTGCCCATCATCTGTCGATGATGATTGATCACGATTATAAATCTAAATAATAATATGGATTTTAAACATAAGAAGAGTTAATCGAGAATGTATAGAACTTTATTTTAAAGCCTATAGAATTATGACAACTAGTTCTACCTCATATTTAAAACCATAGACGTTCAATGATCGAATAAAACGTTGATATTCATCTGTCTTATTTGTAGCAACCGCAACAACAAGTAAATCATCTAAATAATGAATATTTTTTTCATTAATCAACGAATATTGTAGCTTACCTTTGCTAAGTGCTTGAATAGAGTAATTAAAACTAATTAGTAGAATTATAATTAATAGTTTCAACATTTTTTCTTTAATTCATAACAAAAATGATCGGTTATTGGGAGGATGTTGAGTGCCTGGATGATAATGATAGTCAATTCTATTTTTAGTAACACTTCCTTGTAGCGCTACAATCGATTTTAATATTTTCTTAATTTTAGATATTATCTAGATGTTTTCAAAAATCTTTATTTCAATTTCCTTCAAAATTTTATTCCAAAAAATATTCTTTCTACAAAATGCATAAGTGCATTAATAACTTATTATATAATCACTATAGAGAACATTTCATTCATTTTCTTTTCGTTGTTATTCATTGACGAACGTAAAAACAAAATTTTTTTTTTCCCCTAATATCTTAATATTATATCATGTCAAAATTATCTTATCCATTGTCTTTTTTTAGATCGACACTATTTAGTCGTCGTTTTCTTTCGATATCGATTAAACCAAAAAAACATGTCAGCAACCAATGGAACCATACAGCAAGATACATTAACTTCTCCGACGTCCCAAGATCCTCTTGACACTCAAAACGAAAAACCATATACTGATCAAGGAATAAATGAAAAAATTGTACAAAAAATTCGTTCTCTTATTGATATAGGCAAATTAAGTTCAACCGATATAGATAATCGTGTATGTGAACAATTACGTTCAATTCCTGATGATAGTACAGCAGTTGATTCATTATTTAATGAATTTAATAATTCCGATTTAACCGGTGTTGTCAATAAAGGTGCATTTCTATGTAATTTTATTAAACAATGGAAAATAAATAATCCACAACAAGCAAGATCAATATCTGGTGATTCATCATCAGGACAAGGTTTTGGTGATAATGCTCGTACACATAAACCTGGTCCAGATGAAGCCAAATTAAAAGTAAGAAAATTCAAAAAAAAGATTGAGATAAATAAGTTCTGTCTTTTTTCTATTTAGCTAATTGTTGACCGAACTGGATATAAAACTGAAGTCACAGCTGGTCAACGTAAATATGGTGGACCACCACCTGATGGACCAGAACGATCCGCCTATCATAGTGAAGTATGTATATAATGCTGATAGTTACTCGGATCTTTATATTTAATTATATTGATAACTAGTTTTAAATATAAACAGGATCTATGAGTGTCAAACTTGATTATTATTGCTAGTTTGATATTTACTAATTTATACATCAATATAGAATGATCTTTTATTTTTCAATAGGTTTTTATTGGTAAACTTCCACGTGAAGTATTTGAAGATGAATTAATTCCACTCTGTGAAAAAGCTGGAAAAATCTGGGATTTACGTTTAATGATTGATCCTGCATCAGGTTTCAATAAAGGTTATTGCTTTGTAACTTATTGTTCTCCAGGAGAATCATCAAAAGCATGTGAACTAGTAAGATCTTTTTTTTATTTTCAGAAAGATTTTATTTATCTAAATGTAATTTGTTTTTAGCTTAATGGTTATGAAATTCGTCCAGGAAAACCTGTTAAAGCAAATACTAGTGTAGCTAATCTTCGATTATTTATTGGCAATATACCAAAAACAAAATCTAAAGAAGAGATAAAAGAAGAATTATCAAAAGCTGTTGAAGGCGTCACAGAAGTTATTATCTATACGCCTGCTGATGAAGCTGATAAGAAGAAAAATCGTGGATTTTGTTTTGTTGATTTTGATACACATAAAAATGCTTCAGCAGCCAAAAGAAAATTAGCTAATGGACGTGCTCGAGTATGAAGAGAAGATTTTGAAAAGAAAAAGTTTTATTATAATAAAATTCTAGGTATTCAACCGTGATATTGCTGTCGATTGGGCTGATCCAGATGAAGATCCTGATGAAGATACTATGTCTCAAGTTAAAGTTTTATATGTACGAAATTTAACATCAGAAGTAACTGAGAATGATGTTAAAGATTTCTTTTTGCCATATGGAAATATTGAACGTGTACGAAAAGTTCGCGTAAGTAAAATTTTCTATAATCAAAATAAAGAAAATAAATTGTTTTAATCAATAGGATTATGCATTTGTTCATTTTGATAAACGAGAAGATGCTTTAAATGCTATGCGTGCACTTAATGGAAAAGTAAATAAATAGAAAAATAATTCAGTTATATATTATAAATTTTTCTTTTCAAAAATTTTTAGAATTTAGGTCGTAATGTAATTGAAGTTAATCTAGCTAAACCTTTAAGTGATAAACGAAAACAAGCACAAGCAAAACGTGAACAAAGAAAACCATTTGATTCAGAAGATGGTCTTGCTGAACTTCCACGAGGTAGACCACCACCATCTGGAAATTTTGGAGGATTTAATAATAATAGTTTACCGCGTGGTGGCGGTGGTGGTGGTGGACGATCTAATGATTCATTCAGTTAGTATTTATCATAGATTAATATTAGAAATATGTATATATATTTATTTTTGTTTATTTTTTTAGATGCAAATAACTTTGGTGCTTTTGCCGCAGATAATTCTATGGGTGGTAGTGGTGGCGGTGGTCCACCACCACGAGGTGGACCATCACAACGAGGCAATAATCGTGGTGGTGTAAGTAATAGAAAGAAATTTTGGTTACTCACTTGTTTTCTGATAATTTATCAATAAATTTTCTTTTTTTTTATAGCGTACTGGTGGACCATCTGGTGGTGATCGAAATAATTTTTCAGGTAATCGCGGTGGTGGTGGTGGATATAATTCAGGTAGCCGAGGCGGAGGTGGAAATTACAATCAAGGTAATCGTGGAGGATATAATAATAATTATCGAGGAGGTTATGGTGGACCACCACAAAATGTAAGCAAGAAAACATTTCTTTTTTTTTCTATTGTGAAATATTAAATATATATTTTAAAGAATAATTCTGGTGGATATAATAATAATAATGGTGGTTTTAATCAAATGAATAACAGTGGCTTTAATAATCAAGGTTTGTTATTTAAGAATATTATAATTTTCATATATTAAAATGTTTTTTTTATTTAGGAGGTGGTTTCGGAGCATTCAGTGGACCATCATCGAATAACAATCAATCGTTTGGACGACCGTCGAATCAAATGGGCATGAGCAATAATGGCTTTGGCATGAATTCAATGCAGCAAAACCAACAATATGGAGGTATGAAACGACCACCGAACCAGATGAACGATGGTAATATATCGAAACGATCCCGTCCTGATACCGGATCGTGGGGAGCGATGGGCGGTGATGGTAGTGATAATTCCAATAATGGCCCACAACAACAACAGAACACCGGTGGAAATTGGTATCAAGATCAGGGCTACAACAGCTCACAGCAGCAGTCCAGTTATAGCTGGAACTGAGCTTTGTCTATAGATGATCCAGTGTGTGTGAGAGGTGAACTTTTCGAAAAGACAGTGGGCGAAAAATGAATTGTCTCTCTCTCTCTCTCGCTTGCTCTCCTATTCCCCTAAATTTGAAAAAAATCAAATTCATACACACACACACACACGCATACATACATATATGCATAGATATCTTCTTTTTTCTTGTTTTTCTTTTTGTTTTCTCATCAATGTTTATAAAAACTATTAACCAAAAACACCAAGAAAAAAAACCAACAAACTTCAGAAGGAAAATTAGTGTTTTTTGTATAGTAAACAAACAAAAGACTTTTTCTTAATTCATTTGTTTATGTCTGTGTCATTCATTCTTTCTCTGTTCTGTGCTTTTTGCTTTTTGGACCAAAAGTGTTTATCGTCATTTCTCTTTCTCGATAAAAAAAAACACGAAAAATTTTTTTTGCCAAACAACAAATAACCAATTTTTTATTTCTTTTGATTTTCATATACTTTTCAAACACAAAAAAAATTTAGTTAGAGAGGATACAAAAAGTAAAACAAAGAAAAATTAAAATATCTGGTTATGGAATATTTATTTATTTCGACGATCTATGGGAAAAATAAAAATTAAACGCAAATATATATAAATATTGGAATAATAGAAAATAAAAATAAGAAAAAAAAATTTTCATACTGGGTAAGAATGAATCATTTTCGTTCGGAGTTTTAGTATAAATTATATTTTTTATTTTAAATTAAAATTGACTAGGAAGATAGGAATATATTAGACTACATTCATGATTTTATTTCAGGGTATATCGTATTCCATCATTCGCCATATGCAATCGGTCCAGTTTTGACATGTTATACAACAGCTCCAACAGCACAAATGACGCCATCATATTATCATCCATCGATGTCAGATGTTCAAAAACTAATTCAATATGAACCAATTATGAACGAAGTTGATGATAAAAGTATGCATTTTACATGAATATTTCCAATGAAATAGTATATTATATCTTTTAGATCGAAGACAAATAATGATCTGCAATAATGAAGCAAGTTGGTCAGAGCAATGATTGATATTAATGTACATAAAATTACTTCATAACTTTGTTATTACTTCTCGGTGCTTCTCTTTGTTTTTTTTTGTTAGTATTACTACAACATTTGTAGTCATTTGTTGAATGACTATAGTGATATAAGTGATCTTATCTTGCTGATATGTCAGATACTTTTGTATCGATATTTTTGTTTTTATTCGCAGATTTTTTTTCTTGACTTTTTAACTTTGTTTTGTTTTGTTTTACTTTTTTTTATGTGAACGATACGTATTTAATATATATGGTTTGTTTTTACTGAAAAATCTTAAACAACTTATTCTTCAATTGGACAATAACTGTATAAAGATTGAATGCATAACAATATTATATGATTTTTATTTATAATCATAAATAGCGATAGCCGTTTCGCATCAGTGAAATGACATAATATTTTGATTCATGTTAGACATGTATTATTTTTATGTCTAGTAAAAAACAAAAGGATTGAAGTCATTAATATTTGTAATGACATATGCATGTATTATGAGAAAAATCGTAGTGAATTAAAAGAACGTGATTCAGTTATGAAGCAGTTTACATAGAATAATGCAGATTATTTTAAAGTTTGAAATTTGCTAGAAAATAATAAACATTTTGCTATAACAAACAGAACAATCTTATATTTTATAAATTAACCCTTTAACGGGCGGTGGGATATATATGTACCACTTTTTTTTCTTTTCGATCATAGGGTTATAGTAAAGTAAGAACAATTATTTTGACATAAAATACTACGATACTGCATAGATTGAGTATGTCTATGAGAGGGTGAGTGTAGATAATATGACAAAACCTACAGCTACAGCCACACCCTCATCTAAAAGTTGCCCGTTGAAGAGTTAATAAATAATCTAAAAAATAGTTCGGATAGTTTACTTCTGTGATTTAAGTTTTAAAATTATTAATCTAGTTGACGAATTTATTTTTCTGTATTTTAAACAAATGGATAATAGGGAAGTATCTGTCACTTTTTTCATGGTTCAGCAAGATTTTTAGAGAGAAGATGTGTTTATTTGAATAAATATCTTTAGAATTAAGCAAAATGTTGTGTATACTTGATATCCATAAGTTAGATCTAAATGATAAATCATGTATCACTACCGAAAATATTTCATTGTCGAAGCTTTTTGCAAGAGAGATAAAGAAATATGAATCGTGTACATGTTAAATGTTCGTTCTTATCTTTGATGAAATCTTCCATGAAACTGGAAAGAAAAGGTGCAGATGTTTTAATCATTGCAACAGTCACGTTTTGTTAAATGCACTTTATTGAAGAATAAAAACCAAAAAGAAAAATTTAATCGAAGAAACATCATGCACTTTGTACTCTTTTCACGAACAAACACCTGAGAAGTTGGTATAGCAAAATCAGTCATATAAACTTTCAATGACGTCAAGAAAACAAAAGAACATTATACAGTACAAAAATTAATATTGTTTAATCATCTGATTAATCTATCTAGTTAGAAGTGAATCGAAGCGATGATTTAGGTCTCTAAAAACTAAGTTTCACATGCACGATTAAAAGAATACAATTTGTAGTTTCTATTATAATTACGTCAGGAAATTATAAGTATATTTTTCAAATCGATATTAAGAATAACTAATTTTTTTCATTCTCATGATGCAACAATTACTTTTACTCTATTCGTAAGTTTCTTCTTCCTTTTCCTTGAGTTGTAATTGTAGTATACATTATTAAATGTAATTCCGTCATACTCTTCAAAATTTCTTTTATATTTATATTGCTAAGCAAACGGAAATAAAGGCGTAGTTGATAGTACTTCTGTTATTTTTTTTTCGTTTAACTTACCCGTGTATTATTCATCTCTATCAATCATAGTTTGTCCTTATTTTTCCATGTAATCTTCTATAAGTTATTTTCTTTCGATGTACTTATTCACTTTATTTTTGTATTCTCAGGACAATACTGAACACATGGAAACAGAGATTAAAAGTAAATGTTAATGTTGTTTTTTCAAATTCATACATGAAGTGAGTCAATATAGAAAAACAAAAAAAATGTATGAATTGTTTAATAAAAAGAAGAGAAAAAGAAAAAAATAATATAAATACTTTCTCTATGTCGATGATTATAAATCGGACATATAAAATAGAAATCTAAGATTCATTACCTTCGAAGATAATTATCATGGTGCACTCTAAAAAAGATATTTTAGAACGATATAGTGCATTCTTAGAACGTAATCTTATATTAACTGATGATTTATTTCATTTTTTAAAACATGAAAAAATTTTTCCCGATTTTGTCTTCGATGATATTCAAGTAGGAATTTTTTTCTATTTTATTATATTCTTAAATGATTTTGTTATTTGAATAGAGTTTATCATCACCAAGTGAAAAAAATAAAAAACTTTTAAAAAGTCTTATCGATAATGCTGATGTAGCTTTTAAAAAATTTGTTGAAGGTTTAATTGACACTGATCAACCATTTCTTGGTGAATTTCTAGAAAATGAAGGTTAGAATAAATAAACTATATATATATATTTAATTCAAAAATTCATTTTTTCAGATAGAAAATCATTGGATTCAACAGATGATCCATCGGAAAAAGTAGCTATTGATGATGATATGTTAAAAAAATGTCCCGGTGTAGATAAATTAAAGGCAGATACAAGAGAGAAACTTAAAGTATATCTCCAAGAACAAGTAATATAAAAAAAAATTTCGATTTTGTTTTTGTATAAATGTAAAATATGTTTATTTTAAGTTATTACGAGTTTATTTACATGATACATGGAAAAAACGAAATCAAGCTAAGTCACTCGAAGTAGTTAATCTTAAAAGACAAAATTATGAAACTCAACGAAGATTATCTATATCAGTAGAAAAGTAAAGTCTTTATTTCAAAATATGATTTTATATGCTATTTTGTTTTTTGTCTATATAGTGATAAACAAGTTATAGATAATTTAAAAGATGCTCTTCGACGTGAGCAAGTTGAACGGCAACACAAGGTTAGATTTAGAAATAAAATTTTAGGTGAAAATAAATGTCTTTTTCTTCAGGAACAAGACCTCAAAGAACTTCGTAATGAAGTAACTCGGATTCAAGCAGAATTTCAACAACGATTGTCTAGTCAAATCAATATGGTAAAAAATGATTGTTACAATTAAAAGTAAATGAACTTTTATTGTTTTCTTTTTAAGATTGATGCAAATACTCGAAGTACATTCAATATGCACGATAAAATGGTTATGCTGACCGAATGGCTTCAATCGTTAGGTATATATTATATTCCCTTCAAAATATAAATAATGTAGTCTCTAAACACAAAACAATTTTTTTGAAAGAGCATAATCATTAATATAAAAAAAAGAAATATTTCCCTTGACTAAAACGTTAGGTTGAAAACAAAGCCGTTGATCTATTACAATCGTGCTACGACAACATACGGTTGCCTAAAGGAAAAAATTCTCTTCTTCATGTATCATAATATTGCAAAGAATCGAATGAAAGTTCTCACTGATCTACTAGTATATCTAAATTATCATGAAAAAAAACATTCTTTCAAAATGAGATCGTACCTTTGTTTTTGTGAATAATATCATATATTTAATATTCTTAGATGAACTGTTTAATAAAAATATCATACAAAGTGGCATTGATTCAGATTCAATGGATCAATTAGAACGTAAACTTAAACGATATAAATCAGAAATTGAATCACTGTCTAGCAGAGGAATTGGTATGAAGTTTAAAAAAATCAATAAGATTTCTTTATTTTTAAAAAAAATGTTTATCTCAAATAGGTACAGATAAACTTAAAGACGAATTATATGAAGCAGTTTATACAAGTCGTTATTTACCAATAGAAGATCATAAAAATAAATCATTTCATCAACTTTTATTACGTCTCTATGGATCAAATCAAGTAACTGAATTAGCAAAAATTTGTACAAAAGATGTGTTAGAAGCTAACAAAGATCGTGATCATGCAAATGATATTAGAAAACGTGATGAAAGAATCGATGAACTTACTCATATCAATAAGGAATTAAATGAAGAAATTGAACGACTTAAAGCAACAATTGAAGCAGGAAAGAAACCAGCATGGCGTCCTGTACCTGCATCAATTCCTGCAGCACGTGATCCAGGTAAAAATCGTCAAGTATTAAAACCATCAAGTATTCAACCTGGAACAAAACCTGGACCTACTTGGTGAATTTATATAAACACACCATTTAAATATTGATCTGGTGTTAATATTTTTTTCTTTTCTTTTCTTAACAAAAATAAAAAATAACTAAATTTTAATTTCTTTTTGCTCTATTTATTAATCAAGTTTTGTGTATAGAAGAAGAAGAAAACAAAATCTTTTCTCTGTTAATTGCTTAAACGACAATATCGTTAAGATTGATCAATTGTCATTGAATAGTAAATAGGCAAACTTTCGTTCATTATTATAAGTATTAAATAATAGATGTACGTGAGCGTAAGCAATGAATTCATTTGTTATTTGAATATTCAATCGATCAAATTTCTAATTAGTTCTATGCATGTATGAGTCAGAATAAACTTGTTATATTTTGATAAAGAGAGAGGGAAAGAGAGAAAGGTTTCATAGAACAGGGAAATCATTAATAAAAGACGACGAAATAAGTGGGAAGAGAGAAAAAAAGAGAGAGAGAAATAATGAAGAATATTTTATTGAGGAAACATCGGTAAACAATAACAATTGTATATCTACGTGTGTTTTAAACAATAAGAAACGCAGACAGCTAACGAACAATCCAAATATATTTCTCCGACAACGACCAGGTAATGATGAATGACAGCCTTTAGAAGAGAAAAGTTTCTTTTTTTTCAAATATAAATGAATTTCTCATTTTTTGTCTATATTCGATGAAAAGTAATAATGACACTGATTTAATTTAGAACCTATTTTTATAACAATAAAAATATACTATCTTTCTTTTTGCTTTCTTTTTAGATAAGCCTTCCATATACAAAACAAACGATCATGAATTCAATCACTATTTTCACCGGTGTTCTCAGTTGTCTTCTATTTATGGTGAATATTTCAATCGTATTTTGCTAATAAATATATATATATGTATTTGTATTCTAGCTAGCTATTACTCATTCGTTTGCATTAGCAGGTCAAACAGCCGATGAACAACAACATCATTTACTTATTGAACAACCATCGGTAATTTTACCAAAACGATATTTTTCATTTTATCATAATGATGATGATGCAAGTAATGATGATTCGGAAGTACATGAATTTGAAAAACGTCGTTTCAATGCCTGGGCTGGTAAACGAAGTACCTTTGGCAAACGACGTTTTAATGCATGGGCTGGCCGACGATAGACAACTCTCATTCATATACATTTACTTTTCTTCTATCTCTCTCTTACATCAATAAATTAAAACTAATAAAAACAAATCATCTAGTAAATAATCTTTCTACTGGAAAAGAAAAAAAAACGAAGAAAAGTTGTAATAAATACAAACCAATTTGTCTTTTTATTTATTAATAATTCATTACAAAATTCTCCTCTTCTCTTTCTTTATATCGCTGTTATACGTTTTTGTTGTCCTGGAAGGTTAACGAGATTGAACACAATATAAGAATGTATACAAAGCAAAAAAACATAAAGGCACAATTACTGCAAAATAACTAAACAAAAACTCCCATTGAGATACATAGACATAAACTCGAAGTGATCAGCAATGACAAAATACACATCACTAGTATATATATGTATATATGTATATAGAATTATAATAATAATAAAAAAAAGAAAGAAAAAAAAAGAAGAGATTTTATACAAGAACAAAACAAAAAATAACTTGTTATTATAGCTATAAAGGAAGCGAGAAAAGGATTAAATCACCGTTGTTGAGCAGATCCGTAGAAAAGAAAATATGCATGTGTTTTAAATATAAAATGATGAGATTCATTAATAACATCCTTCATTCCATGATGATGTAGGTGAAACAGTGTCCGGAATTTGTGGCCGTGTGATTGATGCTGGTGCTCGAATATTTCGAGTTGCCATCATACTATCCGATGATTGTGATGAGGGAATTGCATTTGATGTCGATGGTCTAATTAAATAAAATATTATAGTTTAATTGAAAAAACACAAGAGCATCATGCGATTAGTAATTCTAAATTAGTTTTTTTTTGCGTCTTATACTCGTGCCTGTTTAAAATCCATTGATCATTGTCCGTCGTGATGAAAGAGAATGATGGCTGAAAACAACCATCCATCAAAACAAAGCAAGCAAAGCAAAAAAACTCTATTATTGAAATCTTTACATACCGTGTCGGAGTAGGAACACTTGGTCTTTGTTGTTTACCAATTGTTGGTATTCCACTTTTTCTACCTTGACTTAATGTTGATGAACTACGTGGAATAGATGATTGTCCATTTGTTGGTGTTGTATCAATTGATGATGATGATGGAATTTGTTCAACAGATGATTGAGTTGATGGAGGACGTCGTAATGGAGCAACTTGAGAACGAGGTTTATTACTTACATCATTAAGTAAATTATTTTCGTTTGATCCAAATTGTTTAGCAGTAAAAGTTGAACCTAAATCATTTGGTGGTTTTTTACCATTTTTTTGAACAGATGGTGGTAATGCTGATGGTGGTGGAGTTAATTGAGCTTTAGGACTATTATTATAAGATGTTTGAGAACCACGATAGTTTTGAAGAGGTCGTGATACAGGTGGACGTGCTCGATTATTATTATTTGTTGAATTTGGCAATGCAATACTGTTACGAGTTGTTGGTGTCTTTACATCAGTAGCATCAGGTAAATCATAACTATTAGCTGTAGTTGTTGTAATTGTTTGTGTATTTGATCGACGGTGATTATTTGGTTTAACACCATTTCTAAATATTGTACATTATATAAATATTGATATGAAGATTTGTTAAATATACAAACTTTGGTACTAATGATTTCGGTGCAACAGGAGGTTTATAACCAGGTTGATCTAATAGAGAGAGAAGAAAAAAGAATAATGAGCAATTAAATGTATAAAATAATTATATAATGCTTAAATACACATATACACACACACATTCATATGTATATCAATGAAGCTAAAAGCATTTGTGCAGCTTTTTTTTCATTCAATAGTATTGCTTTTGTTTAACAAATTGAAGAGGTATGATGAGAAATTCACTACGTAATGATGACCTAATATTTCAAGATAATACTCCTGAGATGATAAGAACTCGTGAGGGTCAGCTGCGAAATAAAAAGGGTTGTTATAATATTTTTTGTTAGACTTTTTTTTCTTCTTCTTAAACCTTGATAAACTTGTCAAATTATTCATAGAATATGGATAAAGATAAAAATCAAACAAACTCAATAAATATATTCAAAAAAAAGAAAAGTATGTTATTCGATAAAGAAAGAAATTTAATAATTAACTAATTATTTTTTTTTCTCTCTTAGATAAACAACAATCTCAATTTGATCCATTAAAACAAATAGAACAAACTCCAAAATGTCCATGTGCTTTTGATAATCTAGCTTATGGTTCTACTGTTAATGTTAAACAATGAATTTCTATTCTTTTTTTTTTTTGTCTTCTTCTATAGAATAAAAACAAATACTATTCTTGTTGCAGCATTCAAGCGTTTTTATATTAGTATGCAAGAAAGATAAGCAATATAGTATTAGATAATAACTATTGTTCCCATAAAAGAATTCTATAAAGAGACTTTTTTTTATGTAAACAAACTCACTTGTTATAGTTATGCTTGTTGCGCTGCTCGTCGATGCAAGAGAAACATTAGAACCGCCTGTAAGCATACAAAGCAAAAGCAAGCCAATAAAGCAGATATATAAAAGCACACAAGACAAAAAGTAATCAACAAAAATGTTAGTAGAGCATTTAGGTGCAGAGTAGTAAAAAAAATAAGAATACATATTAGTATTCTATGAAGGACCTGATGCACTATCGGCAAAGGTAGAATCAGCAGTATTAGGTAACACAAGATTTGGTAAAAGATTATTTGAAGAAATGAATGATGCTTCCATACAAGTTTCAAGTGCAGATGGTGTTACACGTCCACTCCATTGACCTGTTCTTATAGCTGGTGATTGTGATCGTGGTGAAACCGATGGTAATACATGAGTATATTGAGATTCAGTTACAACAAATGAATTTTTTCGTATTGGTACACGTCGAGGTGTCATATAACCACTATTACTAACAGGACTTGTATTACGTGTAGCACCAAATACCGATGAAGGCGAAGCATCACGTGAATCTGTACTTAATAAAGTATTTGAACTGCCTCCTGAAAATGTATAGATTAACAACGAAGACAAACAACATATAGTGCACATATAAATAGCAAACATAAAAAAACTACACATTGTTCCCTTTGTCACTAACTCAAAATTATATAATAAACAGCGAACAACATGCATATTATCGTATTGATTAACATACCGAAACGTTTTGATAACGGGCCCTGTCGTTCAGCTAGACGTAATTCTAAATTCAAATAAAATGAAAACTTCTGTTGTGCTTGAAAAATAATAATTACGTACTTTCAAGTTGTACTTTCGCCATTACTAAATCAGAGAAGAAAAAAATTATTATTAATACTATTTCTAAAAAAGAAATTACCTTCTAGATCAGTATAATCCAATGTTTCTCTTTCACGTTCTTTTGAAGCATCTCTTGAACGTACATTAATACTCGCACTTGTTGCAGCAATTGTATGTCGAAGTGGTGATGAACTAGCAGGTGATGTTGGTCGTGTATTACTATTTCCATTAAATAATGGAGTACCTGAACGTAATGGAGAAGTCATTCGACCATTGATCATAGGTTCTATAATGAACATATTGAAAATGAAATATTTGTTAAAGAAATTTTTATCAAACATGAAAATAAAAGGATCATAACAAAACGCAAAATCTCATAACATGCTCATCTAATAAGACTTAAAAATTCGTTTGAATCGTGCTCATTATCATGCGAAACATCTTACTACTCCACATTAATGTATTATTATTATCATTATTATCAAGACTATCCAATGATGAACAACGACGTGTTAATTGTTCAATTAATTGTCGTTCATTTGCAATTGTTTGAAGTAAAACTGTATCATTTGAACAATCATAAAACTGTTCATTCTCATCATCATCAGATTCATCGTTAAGTGAATCATATAGAAATAAATCAATATGATCATGATTATCTTTTTCAATACTATCCAAACTTAATGTTGATAAATGTACATTTTTCGGTTGTGGTGTTGTAAAAATTTCAGTTAAATAAAGAGCATTTTCAAGTAAATCAGATGGAGATATTTTTGAATGAAGAATAAATGTATTTATACCTTGATTAACTTGTTGTTCAGTTGAACTTCGTTTAACACTATCAGATCTTTGATTACCAGCAAAAGTATGACATGAAATACTTCGTATTGTACGAGCTATAACAACAAAAAAAAACAATTTAGTCAGACATATGTTATAGCTAGATTAGATTATTATTTTGTTTATATTAAGTAATTGACCATGTATTTAGAATGATAGAGTACAATCTTAGTTTGGAGATCTACTGATAATATTTGAATAAGCATATGTAAAACAGAAGTTTGATAAATGCAAATTAACTTTTAGAGGAATTGTACAAAAAGATTATTCATTTTTTTTATTTGCTCGATCGATTTATATTAAAATAATTAATTCAATAGATATGGAAAACGACATGACCAATCTTATTTATATGGTCTATAGAAGCTGACAGTTCGTTACTTTTCAACATTGATTAGTGATAGAAGTCAACAGTGTGTTGATGCTTGATGACTGACTGTCAAGCGAGCGAAGAAAAGATTTAATATTAGATACACATGTATAGATTGTTTTTGTGATAACTTGAATAATGAATAGATTCGATTAGATTTCTATTTATGTAGAAAAATCATTAATTATAATATTTCTTATTTTCAAAGCAAGAAATTTGATGTTTACAAGTCATTTAATATATTTTCGTACGTCATAAGATTCAATAATTCCTGCTGTTATCATCTTAGATGACACTTAAAAATAATTTTGTTTTTATTCAAACCAATAATAATAATAATAATTGTCTATGTCATTCATATGAAGAAAAAAAAACGTTAACTATGAACTACTACTAATTTGATTGAACCATAACGAGCATATGTCAATTTTTTTTATATAGTTTTTATTCTCATATTGTTCCTTGAGATAAAATTCAATCGAATGCAATAAAAACCTTCACTCGATCGATACACCATCAGATCTAAATCTCACGTTCAAGATTTTTTTTCTCTCTCTCTCTTCTAACAAATACTTCAGGACAATTACTTTGAAATAACGTAATAGAATATTATAAAAGCAGTTGAGTGTTTAGACGTCCTTATATTCAAGGATAAAATGTCAATATTCACATGTAATATTCAAATGGCGTAAAAATAGCACTTTGAACTTTTTTCTCCTTGAAAAAAATAAATCGTTCGAAGACAACTTACCATGTGACATATCATCGAGTTTACAAAGAAGTCTATGTTTAGTTGCATTAATATCATTTTCTTTAAATTCTTTATGTACCCAAGAAAAAATATTATCAGATTTTGGGTTTGTTTTATTTCCATTTTCAGGCATTTGATATAACCTAAAGAGAGAAAAAAAAGTGAATTGATTAAAAAAAAACTAATTTTTTACCAATTATCATCAGCTTCATTTTGTTCATCATGTATATTCACAGGTTCAATTCTATCTAGTGATAATCCATCAATGACTGCATCATATTTTGCTTTACGTGAACGTCGTTGTTTTTGTGCATTAACTGAATCTTTTTTTCCAAGACTTTTCAAAGATGTATCTAATTGAAGGCCATTTGTAGTATTAACTAACATGGATTCATCTTGTCCAGAAACTGAACAAAAACTTTCAGTCATTGATTCACACATACCAATTCCATCGAGAATAAAACTTTTTGGTCGTCCACCACCACCTGAATCCGATATTCCTGATGTTGTTAAATCAGGAAAATGCAATGCATTTATTGTTGATGTTGTTAAAAGTGCAGATGGATCAATTGATATACTTTGATTCATATCATGTATAGATGAAAGATATTTATCCGTCATAGTTTTACTTTACCAGTTTCGTATATATATATATATATTTATCACTTGATTGAGAAAAGGGAAATGCTAATCCTTCATCTGTCTGTCTGTCTCGAGTATGTCACAATTCAATTAACCAATCATAATATCTTTCAAACATCAAGTGACATCTAGAAAAAAAATATACTAAATGATTAAATTATATATCATATAAAATATTTTCATATACATCGAAAAAATATTTTTTATTAAACAAGGTCATAGAAAATGAATTCGATTGGTTAATATAATGAGTCACGTTACTAACAATCATTCAGTCATCAAAGTAAATTGAATCATTACGATAACGAAACAAAAAGAAAAGGAAATATGCAAACAGCAGAGAGTGTATGTTTATGGAATTATCAATTTAAAAATAATTCACCACCCTCACCAATTAATAATATGTCAATAAAAAAAACTTCTCCTGATAATACACCATATTTAACTTGTACAGAACGTTTATCATGTCAAAATGAAATGTCATCGAAAGCAACATTTTATTGTGTACAATGTGGTTCATTACAATGTATTTTATGTGAAAAAGAAATTCATGAAAATTCAACGAATGATAAACATGAACGATTGAATTTAGATGAAATTGACGATGAAATTTGTTCAGTTGATCGACGACATCAAGCTGTTTTTTATTGTCGTACATGTACATTAGCATTTTGTTATAGTTGTTATGAAAATCAACATCAACATTCAGATGGACGTGAACATAAACCACAAAAATATCGAGAAGGACAAACATTTATAAATAAAACGAATAAGTAATGATTAATTAAATAGTTACTCCCTCTTCAATAGACACGCCGCTAGTGAAAAATGTTTTTCTTTCCTTTACACATCATTGACTACTTTTCTTTTCGAATATTAACGATAATATTCTCTTATTTAGTAATCAACAACAAATTGAAACACAACCGATCAAAATCGTTTCTTCTTCCAATGTAAATACGAATAATACAAAACCATCAGCATCGTCATTTGAAGATGTACGAGTCGATGATAGTGATGAAAATTGTACAACACCACCCAGTCGAAAAGAACACTCAAAAAAATCAACTACTCGTCAAAATAATATGAAGTCAAATCATGTACCAAAACGACATAATTTTAATCAACAAATGTTACTTGAATCAATGCTTGATGACGGTGAAAATGAACAATCAGATAAAATTAATAATCGACTTTTACAACAGAATCATATGGATTCAAATAGAGGTTTTCTACTTCTCGATGCCAATGAACATTTAACTGTAAGTCTATAAAATATTTTTTTGTATGAAGTTTCTATGTTTTTTATTTTAGATCAATAATGAATCAGAATTTTTACGTCGTTTAAAATCTGACAAAGATCTTTGTGTTAAATGTGTATCTGTTATTGGTAATACTGGTGATGGAAAATCTTATACACTTAATCAAGTATTTTTTAATGGTCAAGAAATCTTCAATACATCATCAACAGCTGATTCATGTACAATGGGTGTATGGTCAGCTCTTGATGATAATCATCGAACACTTGTACTTGATACGGAAGGTCGTCTTGGTTTATCGGAAAATGATAATACACGTAATAGATTATTACTTAAAATTTTATGTATAAGTGATATTGTTATATATCGTACACGCGCATCAAAATTACCAAATGATATGTTTCAATTTTTATCGGATGCATCGAATGCATTTTTAAAATATTTTCGAAAAGAATTAGAAAATGTTATGAAAAATTGTAAAGCTGATGGTCCCATGTCAACTATGGGACCAACATTAATTGTTTTTCATGAAACACAACATACAGGAATATTAAAAGGTAAAAGAAATCATTGAATTACAATGTCACAAATGTATATATTTAGATCATTTTCAATGTCAAAAAACAGCTGTTGAACAATTAAAAGAAAGATTTGAAACAATGAATTTATCTTATGATGCATATAGTTCATTAGAATATGTTGGTATTCAAACAACAGGAGATAAACCATCTGATTTCAGTACAATCAAAGCAACTATTGCAGCAACATTGAATAACAATAATATACGTTCCCGAAGACGTTTATCTGTTATTTTCAAAGCATTAAAAGTAAGATAGAATTCGTTCATTCACTGTCAGATCTAATTATCAAACGCTAGACTAGTGTACATATTCATCCTTGCAGAAGATATCAAAATTCATTATGTTAACCTAGAAACTACTACTATCATTTAATAGTAAATAAATAATGAAAGTATTATCTGTTCCTTGTGGTTAACCTTAACTATAGTGAAAGATAAAATCGACCTTTTTTCTGTACAATATATTCATTGAAATAAAAAAGCTGACTTTTAGGCATTAAATGAAAAATTCAATCATGCTATTCCTCCATCAATACCATCGACATTACCAGATGATTTTTTTGCATGCTGTGTAAAATGTCTTTCTTGTGGGTAAGTACATTTTTTTGATTTAATTTTGTTTTTTGAGAATTATTCGAATAAATTATATTAGAACGAAATGTACAATGGTAGCAAATCATCATAAAGATCATATACCACATGAATGTGATACACGATGTTCATATTCGAAAGAATTCGATAATGAAGTATGGAAATGTTTACAATGTCATCGTGATGGACGTGATGTAATTGTTTATGGGAAATTAATAACTAAAAATGACGGTCTTGTTCAAGGATTATTAAAATATGTTTGGTCAGGATGTGTTATTGAATGTCCATATCATGGTGAAATCTATCGTTCAAGAAAGCATTGGTATGGAAATAATGAACCCAAAGATGTAACACGTGTTGAAATTATTCATGTCTGGCCAGATGATGACAATAGTCGATTAGCAAGTGATGTTACACCAAGAAAATTTATGGAATTAATTGTTTATGCAAGCAGGTACGATTGATTGAATAGAAGAAGAAATAAAAAAAAATATATTGAATAAATTTATTTAGTTATTTATCAGCACCGACTAAAATGATAACAGAAATGGTTGCTGATCAAGTAGCACCATCGTATTGGATTCCAAATAAAGATGTTATTGTAAGAGATTATTTAAATTCGATTATTTAATTTTCAATATCTTTTAGGCTTGTTCATCATGTAAATTACTTTTTGGTTCAGAATTTTCTAAACATCATTGTCGAGGTATGTTTATAATAATAAAATATATTAATTAATTACTTAAATATTTCTTTTTTTATAGCTTGTGGTCATGTATTTTGTGATACATGTACAACATATCGTCGTATTGTTCCATGGATTGATACAGAAAACACAGTACGTGTATGCAATAATTGTAATGATAATCCAAAACCTCGTGCACCATCATATACATTACCATTATCTGAAACAAATAAACAATTTAGTCAAAAATCATCTGAGAATGGTAGTAGTGGTGATTCAGGAAGTACGGTCTCATCCGGTGAGCATCTTAATGATTTATGCTTAACTCCAACTGATATTTTTGATATCGAACAACCAAGTACAGGTATATTTTATTTTCATTTGTTTGATATTTGAGTTTTGTTTATATATATAATAAAGGTCCAGTCATAGTTGATATTCCAACAACAAGACGTGTTTATGAAACAGTGAAAAATGGATTAGAAAAAATAGGAGTTAATTATCCAATAGAACTTATTAAAGAAAGTACTCGACCAAGTTATTGGAAACCGGATAGTGAATGTCATGCTTGTTGTATCTGTAAACGAACATTTAATAGTACAACAAACCGATTACATCATTGGTAAATTATTTTATTTTAAAATTAACGATTGAATTCATATTTTCTTTATTATAGTCGAAGTTGTGGTGAAGGTGTTTGTGAAAGTTGTTCACCAATTCAACGTCCTGTACCAGAAAGAGATTGGTTAACACCTGTACGTGTCTGTAAAACATGTGACAAAACCATGACTGGATTGAAATTGAAAACTTAATTATTTTTTTATCTCTTTATATATAAAAAATTTTGAAATTCTCTTTCTTTTTTGTTACATTGTCATTTTCTTTTATTATTTAATTCTGCACTGATAGTTGAAAATATACGCACAAGTTCTTTTTTTAATATTTATGCGTGTGTGTGTATGCATGTAACCTATTGTATTATTATTGTTAATAATTCTTCAGAGTAAAAAATCGCATATATATCTAAGCCAGTTTATGTGTTTGGCAACAATTCTCGTTTTTTCTTCTAATAAGGAAACGAAGGATTTATGTTATTGCATTTCTTTCTTTCTCAATATTAGATTTGAATCCATGGAGACCGTGAATCTATACATTTACGTGCAATAATATAAATCTAATCATTCCTTTTTCTTCTTCTTCTTCTTTTTCTTCTTGTAGAATAATGTTAGAATGAAATCATGTATTTATATTGTCATTTTTTACTTATGAATTCGAGAATATTTGTTTTTCTTTATATTGAAAAGCACAGTTTGCTTTGAAAAGTCTTTTTATTTAATCATAAAATTTATTGCTCATTTTTAGATGTTTATGTATAATGGCTATTCTTCATATGATAGTGAAATTCAACGACACAGTGTGTGCAATTCATCATTATCATCAAATGTACCATTATCAGTGGCTGAAAAAATTGCTGAACCTTATTTAACACATGTATCTGAATTAATTATGAGTAATCGACCATTTCCAATAGCGGTCGATAAAGATTTTAAATGGGCACTTGAAATATTTGCATTTGGTTTTACAAGTGAACATAGTTCTATTTATCAATTATGTGCTAATATTTATGTTGAATGGCTTAAAGTATTCGAAGGAACATCTGTAAATTCAAGTTCAATCCCACCAATATTAAGAGAAAAAACAGAATTTTATTGGTCACAAATGTTTTGGCATTTGTATCATCTTTTTGTTATACATGACGGTAAAACTAAACGAAAGAAAAAAAAAGAATTTTTTTTAATGAATAAATTTATTTATTATTTTATATAGAAAAATCAGCTGATTTATTAACAAAACGTATGTATACACATAAAGTTCTTCGTCAGTTACAAACAATGATTAGTCAAACAGAACTTAGCCTTGATTTATGGCATATACTTCTACAAGTATTCTTAGCTATTGGTGATACTGTATTATCTCCAGCTTATCGAAGTATGTTTTCTTCTTTTTCTTTTTGAATAACTTTACCTTTATATTGAAATTAATAGCAAACGAAGAAGGTAGTGCTGTTATGAGTCATCGACTTGTTCCATCGATTTATCAAGTATTTATGGTTGCTGTTGATAAAGTACACATTCCACCTGGTTTATGGAGAACATTTCGAGATTATGCAGTAACATGGCGTCATCGACCTGCTGTTGTCTATGGTTAGAACAAAATTTCTCTTATTAAAAATAATAGTTAACTTACGTAGTACAGCTTTGTATATAAACTACATATTAATAACGAAGGAGTTCGATCGAACATTTGTGTCTGTAGTTCTGGTTACTAATACAATCTCTCGTATATGAACATGTAGAATTTTATATAGTCAATGATTTTAATGATGTTCAGAATAGAGAGAGTTTATTATTGTTTGATTCTTAAGTATCTAATCGATTTGAAATTTATTTAGATTGGGCGCAACTTACATGTGTCCTTGCATCGACTGTTGTGCATAAATTATGGTGGCCAGACTTAGTTCCACTTCAATATGTTTGTAAGTAATCGACAATTTTTTTTTCTTCTTCTATTCTGTTGTATTCCTTTCTCATCACTTCTTCTATATAGGTACTGAAACTGATCAAGGTGAATATGTGCAAAAGATAATCGATTCTCTTTCATTTAATCTACTTGTTACAACATGGATCCAATTTCTTACTATTCTACAAAATCCATCGGAATGTGGTGATGTTTCGGTAGATTTAATTCAATTAATATATAAGATAAGATCAAATATCTCTATATTGCTATTCTTAGGTCTTTCTTCGTATGCCAAAATATACAGGACAATTACAAATAAATTCAAATACAAAACTAAAAGAATTAACATCATTACAAGAATTACCACGAATTTTCGTTAATGTTACAAAAGCAATTGGAATGTTTGTTGATATATGGTTAGGTAATAATATTAAATAAATATAAATTTATTTCAATTAACAAAAAAATGATATAAATGTTCTTATCTATTGATAGGAAAGGAAATCGATCCAACTTGTTTATATAGTCCTAAGCCTACAACTAATTCAACAGCAATAATGGCCGATAATTCAACATCGAGTAATATTCCATCAGCACAATCACGTCCATTCGCTCAATCCATGCGTGGAAATCCACCTGTTTCACAACAACAACAATCTTCAACATTGAAACCTAAATCACAGGCTGATAATCGAAAAGGTAATAATAAATAAAATATAGTTTGATATTACGTATCCTATCTTATTTCAGTTAGCTTACATAAAACAGGTATCATGTACAAATGAAATAAATATCTAGTCTAAATTTCTATTTAATTCATGAATAATTTTATATCCTTAATGCTTTATTAAATTATTTTGTTAATCATTTATTTCATATGATTATTTCTGCTTTTAGTAAGTGTTCCTCCTGGACAAATACTTTCACCAACAGCACCACCAGTTAATGCAACTTTATTATCCTCAATTCCTCAACAGAATCGCCCTGAACAAATATCAAAAATTTTACGAACAAATCGTCCAACTGTAAATAGTTTAATGCATCTGTATGGTCCATGGATATTAGATGCTTGTTTATTACAAACGAAAGATCGTCATACACGTTCACCAACGATAATAAATACGAATGATTGTAAGTATTAATCGTTTTTTTTCTTCTTCATTCGATTAATACAATAAAACTTCTTTTTTTTAGCTTCTCGAATGAATGAAATAGATAAAACGTTAGATATACAGGTATATTAATTTATTTCTATAATAAAAAAAAAGAAAATCTTATTTTGATCTTAATAGAATGAACGTTTAATGGATGAAGCATTTGCTAAATCATTTGCTACTATATGTACAATATTTGGTAGTGCACAATGTGATGAATTTATTCATCCAGAATATTTAAGTCGATTTTATTATGTTTTACAACAAGGTCTTCGATTTTATCAAGGAGATGAAGTAAAATATTATTTCTTATTAAATCTATATATATATATTTACAAAATTTTATTTAGCAACGTTCTTATGCAATAATTGAATCAATTCTATTAAATAGTGCTGATTTATTTCGTATTAATTTACGTGGTATTAATATATTATTACCATTATATTTAGATGCGATAGAATATTATTTACAAAATGATTTTCAAACATATATTCATAATCATTTTAATACGAAAGGAATAGTAAATTCATCAACAATTCACGATCGTTTTATTCGTATTCGTTCAAAATGTATTCAAATACTTATGTCAGTTGTTAGTTTACCATTTCATTATGAATATCTTCAACAACATTTATTCGAAGACTATTTGGAAAAATCACATGATGTACAAGTAACATTAAAAACATTTTCACAATATCGTTCAAAAATATTTCCATTATTATTAATGGCTTTACAAACGGAACAAGATACTACGAATGCTCAATTATTATTTGGTAAGAAATCATATAATAAAGACAGAGAAGAGAAAATTAAAGTTTTTTTATTTAGGTACAATTCGTTTAGCTTGTTCATTAGCAGCACATTTTGAACGACAACAAGAACAATCTGAAGAGAAAATTCAAAAAGGTAGAACATAAAGTGCTTGATTATATCCGAGTTTCAATTCCTATAATAACAATGAGCACACGAGTGATTAGGTCCATAATATCGACGAAAACAAAGAAAGTCAAGGCAAATATAAATCAGCATGGCAGTAGCGGATTTAGGGGGGCGATGGGGGTGAGCGCCCTCACCCCTTCCAAAATCGTAGATCCGCCACTGCGACATGGGTACAGGAATCTATCGATGTTATCTTTTCTGGACCAGCGTCCTCACCCTTCCTCCAGTAAAATAACTAAATCTTATGGTTTTCTGTTTGTTTAGATCCCACATCCGATTATTTAAGTCATGCTGTACTATTAATTTGCGATAAAGGTACAAATGATTCACAATTATTTTTGGCTGCACTTGATACACTTATTTCGCTTGTAACTGATCCTGTATGTCAATTACGTATGTATTTTTAATTAAATAGGAATAGAACTTTTAAATTATCCTTTTTCTCTAGCAATTGAAATGTGGAAAAAAGTTTTGAAACGTTTATGTACTTTTATTGATACACAATTACATCTTGGTCATACACATCATACACGTGAAATGCATTCAACATGTGTAGCAACATATAATACATTAATAACATTAATTATTGAACGACCAACATTACTTGATGATCCAGAGAATTTATATGAATTATGTGAAATTATTGAATTAGGAATATCGGGTGAAAAAGCTCAAGTATAAATAAATAATTAAAAATATTATTAAAACCAACTGATTTTTATTTGTTTTAGTCATCAGAAAAAGTTGTTACTAAAAAATATAAAGAACAACATCCAGCATCGCAACGTGTTGCTGAAGCTGCTGAATATTTAATGTGTGTTTTATTTGAACATAAAGTAAGAATAATTTCTTTTACAATATATTGAGAATCATAAATTCACCCCCTGTAGACTATAAATCGAATAACAAATATGTCACAGCGTTCTGAAACAGGAGCATGTTTACATGTTGAACGAAACGGTGATATAATAAATGAAGAGGTTTTTAAAAACTAAAAACTGCTGCTCTAGTTTTCAAATTAAATTTTCTAGTATATACACATGTTCACATTGATTTATTTTTGATTTTGCTCTGATTTGTATTTTTATAATAAATTATTTTCGAAAAGAAAAATCAAATTTTTGTATTTTAGGCTGTATTACATTTAAAAAATGATATATGTAGAAATTGGTTAGATGAAACAACATTCGCAAATCTAATGACATCAACACGTTTTAAATATTTTGCAGTTAATGAAAATACGCTATTTGCAATTAATGAATTACCAATTAGTATTAATAATGGTTAGTTTTTATTTCAAAACGAATCGAATAGATTAGAGTCCTAAATTTTCGACTTACGAGGGATCTACCCGAGATATCAAAAAGCTTTTGAGCCGAAATTTTGCCCACAAGTTAGTGTTTGCCTGAGATATGGACTATTTATTGTATTTGTCCTATAAGGCCCTATCTGTGCGGTAAAACCGCAGTTTCGAATTTAGGCCTGAAACTTTGTCCACACTAAGACCTCAATCAGAAAAGCTTGCTTACAAAGTTTCTGAAGTTTCTCAAACACTGTTGTATCTTGGAGATAATTTGTCTAAAATTTCTGAAACTTTTTAAGCAAGCTTATCTAATTGAGGTCTTAGTATGGACAAAATTTCAGACCTAAATTCAAAACTTGGGCACATATCCTTTTAGGCTTTTTCTAGTCTATGTATCCCCAACTTGAGGGTAAAACTTCAGCTCAAAAGCTTTTTGATGCTTCGGGTAGTTCCCTCGTTAGTTATTGAATATTTTCTTTCATAGGTATGCCGGCAATTATTCTTCTCTGTCGTGGATTATTCGGTAAAAATGTTTGGACATTAAATTTTCGTCATAATCCTATAAATAATTCAATTGTACAACGAAATAAAGTATTTATTTGATTTCATCAATTAGATAGCAAAAAAAAGTCCTTTTATATTTATTAGTCACATGAACGAACTTTAAACGAAAGTGATAAGAGTACGTCATCATCGGTAACGAATTCATCTAATGATCCAAAAGAAAAACATCATCTATCACATAGTACACGAAATGAACGAGCAAAAAGGTAAATATTTCAATAGATAAAATCTATTTTGAGAAATAAACCTAAAAAAACAAAATTCTAGCGATTCTTCTCGACATAGCAGGTTGGTAATTAATTGCCATACTAACCTAACAAATTTCTCTATCTAATATACGTTAAAACCTATTTTATATAATTCCTTTCAGTTTCTATCACCCACCGTAAGTAAAATATTAACAAAAAAAAAAAAAATAAATAAATACTAACTGCTTTATTTGTTGTACGGGTCTCTGCCTTGCATTCTAAACTACTTTTAACGGAAAAATCTCTATATATTAAAATTAAATTTTCTATTAATAAAAATTTATATATAATTTTTAGTGAATTAAGTATTCCAACATTAAATTCAATTGTTAAACGTGATGAAGAAAAATTAAATCTATTTCGAACATTAAAAACTAAACAAATTACAATTGAAGAAAAAGCTATACAACGTGCTCATATAATTGATGAAAAACCTATACCAGAATGCAAACCACCAGAGTATAATCTTTCCTTATTAAAATCTCTCATAAACTAAAAAATTCTTTTAGATGTCAAAAACATTTCGAAGGTATTCGTTTATTTTTATCACATTATGGTTATTGTTCATTAGATTCAATGAATCATTTATTGAATGGAAAACAATGGGTAAAAAAAACAACGGCAAATTTCAATTAAATTTTACATCTATTTTTCTTTTTAGAATCAATCAAATACACTTGATCAACTTCAGCCAAGAATTAAATTACTTGATTCAAATATTCCAACATTTATGGATGATATTAAAATACTTGATAAAATTTCACCTACACTTTATTGTACAGGACAAATATTTTATTTAAAACGAGATCAAAATTCAATTAATGAATCATTTTTAAATACAGTATAATAGATTTTCGTTTTCTCAGTAGAATATTTTATTAAATTTCGATTATAGAAAACACCGGAACAATTAAATCCAGCTTTTTTAACAATGATATCACAATTTGGTTCGGTTGTTGAAATTAAACGACATTGTGGTTGGACAGGAAATGTTGAAACAAGTTGGAAAACAGTTTCTGATGCTCAATCAAATCAAGGACCAAATTCAAAAATATTACACGAGATCGATGGCGATGATAGTATTCTATATTGGGTAGATTTAACAACTGAAATGGCTTTTTATTTACCTCATCAATTCTCTGGTTAGTGATTTCCTTTTTTTTTGTCTGCCTAAATTAACTTATATATTTATAGCTGATAGTCATGGTTCTGAAATGCGTATATTAATTGTTTGGCTTGAACAATTTCATGATGATCTTGATTCAATCTTACCTGGTTTGTTTATCTATAAAATAATTCTCCTTGCTATTCTTATCATTATTATAGTTGCAGAACAACAATCGAAAAGTCGTGATATATCTATAATTGGTATTCATCCATTAAAAAATCATCTATTACGTATATCACTTAATTCAAATGCCCAACGGTAAACCTTTGAATATTGTTGAATATTCTATTATGTAATTCTTATTTAGAATGCAATCAGCATGTGCTAGTATTCCATTGATTGATGGTATGGTTATACCATTACATATATTACCGTTTTTTCTTCGACAAGCTGTACATAATTTAAGTCGTCGAAAACGATTAGAAGATAGTCAAATGTTTGTTTAATTTTATTCGAAAAATTTTTATATAATTTTGTTTTTAATTTAGCTCGCAAACTGCTTATTCAGTTCGTAAAAATAAAATAACAAGAATTATTGATAAATATCAAAATCGAATAAATAATAATCTTGATGAATTTTTTCAAAATATATTCTTTTCTTCTTCTTCGACAACAACAACAAAACAACAACAACAACCGATTGTCACTCATTCAACATCACGTCCGAATTCAATGATAGTTGTGCAATCGTAGAATGTCAGATGATTATCATGTATAAAACTCGGTGTGCGCATGTGTATTTTTGGGACAAATAACAGTGATTTGTGTGAATGCTTTTTGTTTTGTTGTTGACGTAATTTTTAGAAATTTTAATTTCAATTATTGTTTTCTTTTTTTTTTTGTTTTAAAATAAATACATTAATGATTACACAAAATGATGTAAACAAATCGAAATATGATGTTATCATATGAATTCAATTACCTTTTTCTTTGTAATCTATCTCATCTATATATATATAAAGTTCAAATGGTATCAAATTGAAAATGGCATCATCCATGAAAAGTTTCGTTTTTACTATTGATATATATCAATAAAAACAATGGTGTTTGGTTAGTTTGAAAATGTCAGTATGTGTTTGTGAGGAGGAGGAGGAGAAGGAAATTAAAGAGAATACAAAGGTTCTTTTTTTTGTGAAAAAAATAAAAGAGAAAGAGAGAAAAAAATGAAGCATTTTTATATTTATTGATCTTCCCTGCTGTGTTATTTTATTTGCCAATCAATTATTCTTCGTTCCGCAATTGAACACAAGTTCATCAAATGATAAAATGTAATAGATATATCTTACACGAATGAGATGCCCCGTTAATTTTATTTTTCATTATCTTCATGTGAGAAGATATACATGTATATATAGATCACGTATGTGTTAGTTGTATAGACATTGTGTTTTTTTTGGTATGTATTGAAATGTGGAAAGGTTTTTTAAAGTAAAGGAGAGAGCTCTTCTTGATAATTAGATCATATTTTATAGACAAATTGTCATGGGGATTGCTCTCTCCTTTCTTCCTTTCATATCATCGATGATTTAAGAATATCTATAATAATTATATATATCTTTTTTATATGTTTATAAGCTGTATAAGAAAGGAAGAACAATTCTATGATCAGCAGATGATATAAAGAACGCTGTCATGGAATTGCTCTCCTCTTTTGTCAGCGTATTCATTTTAGTGAAATTATCTCAATGAAAAATTAATTTCTTTTGTTCTTTTATTAAGGAACGATTCTAATATGAATTCTGATTTTTTTTTATAGTTAGGATGTGTTTTAGTACTGTTTATGAAAGCGAATATAAAGATAACAATTTGTATCAATATAACAATCAATAAAATTACTGTACAAATAAGAAATATCGGCAATACATTTATTGATGAGAATATAAAAGTTAATATCAAGATTGAAATAAGAATTAAATAACGAAAAAAAATACTTGTAACATTTATAAAAGTATATCAGTTATCATATTTCAAATTCTATCAAATGGATAGGATAATGCTTAAATATATATGTCATTTCTAATCTGATAAAACAATGTCATTAAAGAAAATAAAAATCTTTGTTGTATTTCAGTATATTAGATTGAAACTTTCAATGATCTTGTTTTAGGGAGTTATCTTTAGAATAAAAGTTGATGAATATTTTTTTATTGTATATATTTCATTTTCGAATACTGATAATATTTCTACATAAATATCTATGAATATGATAGGTACATATCAGCTCTTACACTTTAAAAAGAATTAGTGAACCTTTTTGTTTTGGAAGTAGAAATTTGTTTTAATATATTACAACTGTTTCAAGCTGACATAAGATACATGTAACATAAAACAGTTATTTTACTAAAATATGATAGACAGGATTCAAATGCATAAGGAACAGACAAACAAACTTTCTTCTTTATATATTAGATATCATCTTGCTCAAAATAACTATTAACATTTATTTCCTGATACATCTTTATTCAAACTGTAATCTTGCATTGCTGTACTCTAGGAGCTGTTATAGATATGTATTTTTTTCTGTTCTGTACTAAATCAGCGCACATATTCTTGCATTTTGATTTGCTTGATTGCTTTCTTTCAGCTGCAAAGCCAATACATTATTTCATGTTTTTGACGACGCAAAAGAAAAAACTTGTCATTAGTCTCGCACAAACGATAAGTCGGTCAAATTCGATTTCTCAGTTAACAGCGCATACATACCTAGGTAAATAAATGAGCGCAGGTAACTATTCGAAACACAAGGAGACTTTAGTTTTTCAATATTCAAATCATTTTTGTCATTCAATCTATATTTATTGTATTTATTATAATGAGTTCTACATGTACTAGCAAATTCTTTCCGATTATTTTCGTAATATAAGATAGAACTATAGGCAATGAAAAACAAATCTTCATAATCGATCAATTAAGAGATATCTTTTATTATAATTAATGATATTGTATTCCTTGTTTTATTTTATTTGCTTCGTTATTTTTTACATGATACAAAGACCTATCGGATCATCATTTTGTGAACGATTTAGTTACAAACACTTTTTATTCTAGAATATTTTCTCCGTATATTGATACTCATACCGACATGCCACGCTGTGCATATTTTTTATAGTATACAAAAATATTAAAGTTTGAAAATAAATATGTCTCTGCATGTCATATTCGTATTAAATATATACGCACATGTAGAATGTACAGGTAAAGAAAAGGTATCAAAATTATTGTCCTCCTTCGCATTACTCTAATTTTCTTTTAACTAGTAGGTCGCTCACATTTTACATTATATTTCCTGCACTAAATTAATAATTTCGATTCTTATTTAAACTTTTTAGAAATTTTATGTTGTATATTTTTTTGTGGTTGTTCCACGAATAGAGACGGATGAAAAAACTGATAGATGTCCGGATATGTTTTGACTGTCGTATACAGACAACATGACTCATAAACATAATAGGATAAACATACTGAATATTCGGTACTGATGAGAAAGGATCGTTCGAAGTTTTTTACTAGAGAAATATATCATGACCTATTACTATTTGCTTTAGTCAATGAATATGATCATTTTATGAATTTCGCGATGCAACCTACTAGAGTATGCGTTCTATAAGCTACCATCAACAATAAAACCTTGATAAAGTGATGATATTTTCTGTCTCATTATCATTTTCGAATTATAAATGAATGTCTTTAGTTGAGTTCATTTTGAATGTAGAAATATTTCTTGTGAATCAAAATTGTCATACCTTCGTCACTCATATAAGATAATAACTACTGATGACTAGAAGTATGCAGTCGAGAAGAAAGATCTTATAAAAAATCCTATATTTTTAAGCGATTCATTACAAATAAATCCTATAATATAGTTTTCTAGCAGCTAGGATCAAAAGGTCAAGAATGATAATCATCCTGAGTTGTTTTGCAGTAAAAATATTAGAAGATAGAAATGTTCAAAATCTCTTTTAGTACATAGTCAATAAGATTCAAATTTTTCGATACTATGACTTAAGTAAATTTATTATATTCAAAAATGACATTAATGATTATATTATTTTTGTTTTCTTCTTCTTTTTTAGTTTGTGTTATTATTCTTTAAAATTGTGGATTATATCGAAACGAAATGGCAGCAGAAGACAACAAATCAGAACGTGTCCAATATATTGAAAAAATGATGATGTGGGACTATAAGGGATCGTCGACCGTGTCTATAGAAGGCTTAACATTCACGGATGAAGATATGATCTTTGTGTCTAATGAATTGAAAAAACTCGACGTAAGAAAATAAACTTTTATTTTATTGACGACTATCACATGAGAAATTGTATTAATACATTAAATTTATATACAATTCTATATAAGATTCTACGATGAGAAGAGAAACTTTTTCTCTCCTAGTGACACAAAAATGCCTTATAAAAATATATTAGTTATTATTATTCTTATCTTATATGTAGAAATATTTCCAGTATTCACAACTTTTTAATAGAAATAAATATTTTTGGTAGATTTTCAATCATGATGATCTTTGATTTATATTAATAAATAAGATATATATAATGTTCTATGAGCAATTATTTATTATATTTGACTATTCTAATTTCGTTTGTCTTTTAACAAGAGATCTATTTCTTAATTATTTCCATTTTGATTATTATATAGGCACTCAAGAAATTCGTATTGTATTGCAATACAAACGAACCCGAAACACTTCGACATCTGGTTGATGGATTACAAAGTTG